GGGAAGGGGAAGGGGACGGGAAGGGAATGGAATGGAATGGAATGGAAGGGAGTAGTAACTAGGGAACAAAAGGGGAAGAGAAGAAGAGAAAGAGCAGAGGGATGAAATGAATATCAATCAGAGTTGTGACGTGATCTGCGATGAGACGAAGTAGATCTATCAATGATACATGGATTCTCAGGCTCGTACCTTGTCATGACGGACGATAGTCGATTCCTCAACGTCTGAATTCCACCGACCGAACCGACTCGGTCCAAATCTCTCGTGGGAGACGTAGGGTCCAAGAACCATGGGACCCATGAGTTCTTTTCATGTATGTCTTAAAAAGCATCAAATTGGAAACCGCTTTGCAGTGATGTTCGGAGACGAGGAGACTGCCTGAGTGATATGTCGATTCCCGGTAGTGGATTACATTCTGCAGCATCCGAATGTTAAGAACAAATCCCATAACTGACCACATTTTGGTCATAAAGGTGAGGGACAAAGTAGGACTTGTATATTGACAGGTACATACATGGCGGAAGAGATGGTATTGCACTTTTGGAGCGAAAACAGGAGAGGTAATTTGTTGGGACGGACTATCAATGACGTACATTTGTGCATATAAGCAGTGATACACTAGTACACTGCAAGGGGGTGGATATAGTCAAATCTCGGTATCCTATGATAATGTGCAGTGTACTTAAGTGCCTCTTCATTGAATTTCCTTCCGGAATGAATAACCTCCGGTAGATGTTAGGAGATATCGCAATTTCTCCCCTTTCTCACACCACCCTATGGTCATGACTCTCCCCTGTTCTTTCCCCTCCCCTTGTTGAATCATTGTGTCTGTGCCGTGCCGTTGAAATCACAGGGAGCTCAACAATTGCAGCCACTGTGCCGTTGATATGCAAAGACAAGTGAGAATGTACGCCCGACCAGGTCTCACCTCCAACGAGGTTCACTCGTACCTCACTCACGGACAACATGGCTCCCTCCCTACTATTGTCAGCTACCCACCTAGAAAGTCCATCCACAGCGTGATCAGTCACTTGTGATATCTGTGGTGGTTCCAGGGTCCCAACTTCTCCCAGTTTGGCTTCGATCCGGGCTTTGATAATTGGTACCATATCAAAGGCCGATGCCCCCCTCCTGGTGGGAGACAAGGCACCAGCAAGTTGTGTTGTATAACGCTTCAAATAGTCTTCCCGTTGATTCCGAGTTGCTTTTCGAAGATCCATACTAAAAAGAGGATCCACAATGACAATATCTGAATCGCGTGTCTGCATCACCTGAGGTACCGTCACCGCATTTGGGCGGGCAATGTTATGGGGTGAGGGACTATTTGACTCTCCTGTTGAGTAAGTACGAGGTCACCACGGGACCGCCGTGGCACCGCTGGGTGGTAACCAGACGGAAGGATCTAACCTGCTACTAGGCAATCCATAATCACCAGAGGACCTTAGTGTAGAAGGGGACACCGTTTGTGTTGTTGTTTCTGGTCGGTTGAGCGGGTAACTATAATGATGATGACCAGGATGAGGAGTATAGGGAGAAGTACTGGTATAATGAGCCTGAATACTGGCCCCTTGACGAGCGCGAGACCGATTAGAGCCAGGAGGGAGTTGACCAATCGCAGAGCCAATTAGACTCGGAGGGATGTAGGAGTGGTTCATGTCGAGAATCCTTATTGGTTGTGAGCTGCTGTACTGCAGCCTCTACGGTTCTGATATTTATAGACTGCTAGCATCCTGCGGATCTCCAAACGGAGGGTGAACCACCCCCAATGGCTGCGTATACGGCCATGGAGGAGGGTGTATAAAAGGAAGAGAGATGAAGGGATGAGCCGGGTAAGTGGTCACGGAGGAAGGGAAGTTAAGAGAGGAGGGGGGAAAGAACGGATGTGAAGAATGGATGATGGTGGGAAGGTGGAAAAGTGGGAAAGTGAGAAAGTGAGAAAGTGGGAATTTGGGAAAGTGAGAAAGTGAGAGAGTGAGAAAGTGAGAAAGTGAGAAAGTGAGAAAGTGAGAAAGTGAGAAAGTGAGAAAGTGAGAAAGTGAGAGAGTGAGAAGGTGAGAAGGTGGGAAAGTGGATGAATGATCACCAGAGCGTGTATAGAGTTAAAAGATCTCTGATCTCTCGTTTTCACTTCATTGATAAGACTTCTCACTGTGGGTGGGAGAAAGTTATTCATGTCAGGATATCCGAGCCCGTCGGCATTCTCACACTCCACAAGGGATCGATGGTGAAAGGTCGAATGGAAGGGAGGATTGGGATTGATCCATCGCCGTCCATCGCCGTTCATCCCCGTCCATCGTTGGATCTGTCAGTATTTGGATGTATGTATCAACTGAACTAGATCCGAGGCGGGCCTACCATCTCAATGATCACGTCTGATCTACTGTATTGACTTGAATCTAATACGCTACCAACTCCTCTTAGTCCATTTCATGCTGAGTGGTTTTAAAACGCAGTGTGGTTTATGACTTGTAACCACCTGTTGAAACGTATGTTGTGTAGATATAGTTTCTTGATATACCTGTATGTCTTTCCACTTTACCGAGCAGATCTAGGTGTGTAGTGTACAACGAGTGAGACGCCTTGTCATCCATCTTGATGACCCGTGCGGTGAAGGTACCAGGTTGTAAGAGTGGACTTGTTTGTGTGCCCGATCGATGGCCTACCCGTCGGGGACTGTATTTTCTATCTAACTACACATGCCAACCCTTAACTTGGGAGTCTGAGTCAAGCATTTTAAGAGTAAGTAGATGCTAAGGGTTCTGTACCTATCAATGCGTAACTGGAACCAGTCTATGATGTCTGTCTATGGATGTCGAGTGGATGGTGATCAATCAATAGCATCGTTATTCCGAGCCATGTGGCGAGAATTTCATGTTTTTCGCCACACTCGACGAGTGCCACAACTTGACTTTGGTAGTTTCCGTCGGAAGCAACCCCAACTCTTCTCTTTCACCCCAATTGTTCTTACAGATATCAAATGGATACTACCTCTCTCTTCTTCACCATACCACTACTCGAGCAGCGATAGTATACCGACTTACAGCACGAGTTGAAACAAGTCGGTATGTCTTCCAACGACGAGTTCAGGAGACGTAGGTTGCTACGGAAATTGGAAGAACTCGAGGTGAGTTTGGGTTCTTCTTCGTCCCCTTCCCCCTTGCATCCTCCGATCTATTCTCCATGTGCATCTTATATGCCGAACCTCTGTCTTTCATATGACAAGCATTCTCTCTCATTTTTTTCGGGGTGTTCCGCACCCTTCGGTCGTTGACAGCGGTATACGTTTGTCACTACACTTAAATCGCCATATCCCCATCGTCGACAGGGGTATACATACGTCATTACACTCAACTCGCCGTATCCACGTTGAATCAAATTAACTGAGCAGCGTACAAACCCTACAGATATACCAACCACATCATTTTTACCGACCCCAACCCCATCCACATCATCGCCTTTGAACTCTCAAATCCAATCACAGACTCAAAAGAGGAAACAAACTCCTAACGTACGTCGAATACTTTATGGGAAGAAGAATTTGAAAGATTGGTTATCTGAATTGGTACGTTTTTTTTTATCTTCATTCATCACCTGTCTCTCTTTCCGCTTTCCATCCCCGTCTCATTATGTTTTTCCATTTCATTTCTTTTTCCTCTACATTTCAAAAAACGATCTCGATCTTCAGCCTTGTCTCCCAGATATCTGGTAACTTTGACTGTTGTCCGTGTGCACCCATGTCTTCACCTCAATTACAAATATGATTCTATGACATAAGATATATTGATTAGTCAACAATATGAACTGTGACAGAAGGAATACATGAGAAACTAATTGTGAGAATCAGGACGGAAGGAATATCGAGTAGTCCACGGAAGAAACTTGGTGGAGTCCAATCTGTACTCAACTCACGCTCAGCCTTCCTCCACCTCTCCATATTCATCAGCCACCTCACCACCTCCCCTCACCCCACCGAGAACTCTCTGTTCGTCTTGCGGTTATATCGGTTCTTATCGATGTATCCGTTGTGGGGAATGGAGTTGCGACCGAACTTGTTTGGAGGTACATGCTCGTGATGGGGGTTGTGGAGTGGGAGGATGATACGAGTTCTTTGTTGTTGAGTGAAGATCATAAACGATTCATGATACGACATGATATTTACAAATGAGATGCTATGTGACAGATTAATTATTTTATCTACAGATGATTCAGTGACGTCTTCACTTTATACACATGACCAACCGTCCTACTTCATCGCTCTATGACTAGATATCCTACCCGTCCAATTATGCTTCCTCTATGAGTCTACCCTCTCCTTCCAGGCCTGCAATTCCTGTCTTCCAGATTCTTCCTTACCTCTAAGGTTCACTCCCTTCCTTTCCTCATCAGCCCGGACCTTCTCGTCTGTACGCGAAAATCTCCACCGACACGCGATGAGAGATTAGAAGACCGAATCCACACACCAAATAATTGACATTGTCACCTACTTCACCTACTTTCCCACCTCATAAAACCCCTTCATTTCCAAATCCCTCTCCACCCTTACCCTCGCTCGACGGATTTGCCAATCAGTTATCATCCTCCAAACCGGTACACCCGGTCCAGAAATCAACCAAAGGAAGAAATCGACCACGACGTTATTCCCCGGTACCGCTCCTTTGGAAGTCATACGCATCAGGTCAGTCACCAAGTGAGATATGATTTGATAATGGTTTTTGTTCAAACCTAAAAGTCAGCATAATCCTTCAACCCATCTCCATTCGTACCGTCATGCCGGTTTTTAATCCATACCGACTGGTAAAACGTTAACGTCTGTGCGACTAAAATGGGAACAAAGGTAGATGAATGATATGTGAGTTTGAAAAGGGAAAGGGTCAGATTCTGTAAAATCAACACTCACCACGTATCAACAACCTAGAACATTCTTCCGGTGAAATGGGTGAATCACCTTCTTCAATCTTCTTTGTGATTTCAGGTTTCGTCTTGTTTTCTTCTACAAAACCTGGACTGTCTATACCTGCCGACATGTAGATATGTATGTCGACATTATGTAAGAGCATTTCGGATCGGAGGGCGTCTGCGAGGCCTGGATGTTAGTGTTCCTTCACGTTTCATCACAAATATATGAGTCAGGTGTTATTTTGAGTTACTGGGGAGGTGAATGATGGAAAAAAAACATATGAAACGTTGAGTTTTTAATATCTCTCTAAGACCATCGTTTCCTTCTTTCTGTCCAATTGTCTTTCTGTTCATTGTTACAGTAGCATCAGAGGTAGGATAGTTTGAAAAAGACATATATGCATTGGATTAAAGAGGGTATTACAGAGAGATGGGAGTTGAAGAGAAATGTGTGACAGGGAGAAACACGTGAGAGATGGCAATTAAACTCACCCCTAAGAGCATACTTTCCAGGGGAATACGAAGTGTATCCGACGAAAGATGTGTATCCAAGGAACGAAGACACGAAGATTATTTTCCCTTTGACACGATGGGATATCATCTTTTTGATAGCGGCCTGATTGTCAGTCATCAATATCTCCTCAGCGCAGAGCGCGTCCTGAACGCTTGTTGCGCCAGGTATAGGTTTGCGCGTTTTTGAAGGATTTCGAGAAGGTCAATGCGATTGAAGTGTGACTTGGCTGTGTGGTGAAATATGTAGTACATGTGATATGAACACGAAGAAGTTTGGTGAGTGACTGTAACTTGCGCATTGTGTCAGATGAGGAATGAAAGATTGAAAGAGGGTCAGAAGGAAGAACGTACGAAAGCCGTCCACGCTTGGACCCAATAAGTCCCATCAAGACCCTGTTCGTCAGTCCAGACCCGTGAGTTTTCTTCAGCAGGAGGACAATGGTGAGACCGCGGATGAAGAGAAGGCAAGTGGAAGCACCTCAAGATGGATACGTGATGAAAGGACATGATAGCTTGAGTAAGAGGTTGGTCAGTCACAGGAGAAGATCGTCGCAAGTCGCAAAGAAGAGATCCAGAAGGGTAAGAGAAGGGTATAAGAAGGTAAGGCAGGGTGACGAGAAGACGAAGATGCCAGGACGAAGAGGCAACACAGGGTAAGATTGGACAAAAACAGAGACAGTCAGAGTGAGAGACAATAACTCACCTTCTGCCAATCCTCGGGAGTGGAATCGACCAAAAACCTAGGTTGAGAGAAACCCGCGCAGTTGAATATATATTCCGGTATCCTACCGTGAAACTCTATAGCCTGATCGAGAGCTTCCGAGGATGTTTTGGAGGACATGAGATCTGCCGAGATGATTTGAAGTTTTTGACCTGGTAAGACGAGAGGCTGTGGGTCAGTTTTGGGTTCATCCCCCCACACCAAAAGGATACATGTAATGAGTAGTCAAGCAGCATAGCAAAGTGAGTTTTTGGTGGATGGGCATGGGGCAGGAGGGGAGTGGATGTAGAGTGATAAACTCACTTTGAGCTCTTCCTCTGCTTCTTGTAACTTTTTGATATCCCTAGCGACGATGGTGACACTTGCACCTTGTTTTAACATATCACCAGCTAGTGCTTTACCCAGCCCGGAGGAACCTCCTGTGATGTAACATATCTGGGCGTGTTAGCTATAGTCTTTTCTCTCCACATGCAGGGGGTGGGCTACATTGAGAAAGCCTCCAGATACAAAGGACCATCCATGAGGTATGGGAGAGTAGCAGAAAATATGCAGATATATGGCGGGGAGGGGGAATGTTGGAAGCTCACCTTTCCCCCAGGTTGAAACTTTGATTTACTCCAGAATGGCATGACGATAGCAGCTAACACGATGACGACGATGGTTGAGATGAATGGGGCCACGAGAGGGTAGAGAAAAGACATTGATCTCCTTCAAAGTTTCCACCTGTAGCGAACAGTAACTACAGTTAGGACAATACAGTGAAGAGGAGGAAGAGAAGGATACTCAACTCTGTTCGGAGGATAAATTTCAACAACAAACTATCATCGCCGACGAGACCGATGATGACGACGACGACGATGACTAAACCGACACCTATACCTATCAGACCATTCGATGATCCATCCAAGGGAGAACAGGAAAGTGTTCATGATGTTTACGAAGATATAGCGGGTCATTTCGCTCAGACGAGGTATAAAGTGGGTCATCATTGATAACTATTACTACTTGTACTTCGTCATTCAATAAAGTCACAATGTCACTGACAGCTGACAACTAGCCATGGCCAATAATAGAATCTTTCCTACTATCTCTCCCTCCTCATTCACTAGGTATAGACCTCGGAGCGGGTAACGGGAAATATCTACCCACCGCTCTCAAAGCGGGTTTGGAGATGATCGCTGTGGATAGAAGTTTCGGTTTGTTGAAGATTGCCAAGGATCTCGTAGGGGACAAAGGGGATTGTGTGAGGGGTGATTTATGTGGGAAATCATGGAGAGGGGTATTTGTGAGTCATAGTCTATACCCTTGTCATCATCCCAACTCCCCCTTCAAGTCATCGTATTGCATCTCATGCCTTCCCCCCCTCTCATCGTTTCTTTCACTCTCACTTATCCTTCGCTCCTGCTTCTCTGGTACTTTATTCCTGCTTCTTTGGTAATTGACTCCTGCTACCCCGGCTCTTGGCTCCTACATCTGGTCATGCTCGTCGCTCAGTCAAATCCAAAGATCAGCACCTGACTCTAGAAATAGGACTTTGCAATCTCTATCGCTGCCATACATCATCTTTCCACCCATCTCCGTCGACTAGACGCAGTTCGAACTCTCATCTCCACACTCCAACTAAACTCTCAACCTCCTTACTCTAGATTCATGATCTACGTCTGGGCGTACGAACAAGGATCCTCCAGTCGGAGAAAGATGGGTACGACTACAGCGACTCCTATCGTCGACTCCAACTCATCAACTTCCAACACAAATCAGTCCCCTCAAACACACTCGACTCATGAATTCGACGCTTCTTCCTCATCTGGCATCTCGAAGATGATAGACGATGCAGTTATTATGAGCCACATCGAGCCCACTACGATAACAGAAAAAGATTTGGAGGTGAAAGAACAAGACGTCTTGGTCCCTTGGGTTATCCCCTCTCAATCTTCCCGTTCAAAACGAGCCACAACAGAAATTGAGATCGTCACAAATGATCAGAAAGTGAGTAGTGAGAAACAAAAAGTTTATCATCGATATTACCACCTCTTCGTCCAAGGTGAATTACACCAACTAGTCGTCGATGCTGCCAGAGCCGAGGGGTTCGATCATATAGACGACGATCACGAGCAACCGACCGGAGGGGATCATGGCGAGTTGAGAAATACGGAGAATGAGAAACGACGGTGGATGAGGATAAGGAGACAAGGTTGGGAAAAAGATAATTGGTGGTTGGAAGCGGAAGTTGGGTTGAGAAGTTGAGGTTCGTAGGTATGGTACTGTGTGATAGATGAGCTGAATCACTCGACTTAACGTTTACTGAATGACTCACATATGTGACATACTCACCTTTATTCAGAATACTACATCTACTGAAAGCTAATGGTCTGTCACAGGTACCACCATCAGCGATCAGGTAGGAGGTCGTGGGCTGTCAAGTCGTTGAGACTCATTTTCGTCAAACCTCGGATGCATCACTACTCCGTACCTTCAGTCAACTCCTGTCTCCCAAGAGTCCTTACATGTGCCTACGATCTATCAACGTCCCTTGCGATTCACACTCACGACTCTCCTGGATAGCCTGGAGTCTCCTATATTCCTGTACCTGATGCAACGCACCAATCGAAAGCATTTGATAAGCCGTACTACGTACAGGATTATGTATCATATCCACGGCCAACTTTGGAATGTCAATCTCATCAGCTTGAAGTGGCATTGTCCGCGAAGCAGACGAAGCGAAAGATTGATCATCCTCTGAAGAATACCCGTCAAGGAATTCGTAATCAGGCGGTGGATCACTCGGAGCATCATTCCATATTAGGGTTGACTCTCTTGAAACCCCGTCGTCTGCATGACTTGGGTATTCTCTCGATTGCAAGTCCGACGGACCCAAAAGCTGATAGGGTGCAGGTGTGTCTTGGTCACTCGTAGATAAGGGAAATGTTACCTCGGATTGGAAGTTGCGAGTACGAGTACGAGTACGAGTACGGATCCTACTGTAACGATCTAGGAAATCTTCTCCATCCTGAAAGATAGCGGTAGACTCGGAATCGTCACTACTCGTACTGAAGTGACCCATGTCGAGCCAATTGGATATGAGTGTCAAATTGATCTAAAATGGACCAGTGAGGGAGTTTGTTGACAGCTTGTCTGGATGGAGAGACTTGAGAGTGATAAGAGAGATGTGAGATGGCAATGGAAGTAAGTGTTGAGTGAGATGAGATTGATGATTACCTCTGATAGGTTTCTTCAGTGATCATTGAATTGATGGAAAAAGTGGAGTGAAGTAATACTCATAGTGTACATATATATACTTTTTTCCTCCTACATTCCCCTTGATCACCATCTCGGTCATCTTCATACTCCGATTCTCTCCATGCCCGGCGTTTCAAAGGAGGGTTGGGTTCAAGATGACGCTAGAACTTTCTAGTCACCTCCTTTCATCTTATAGAAAGATGGAGGGCTCAGACCATGAAGCCCTTTCGGCCGAAATCATAGTCTGATTGACACCCACCATACCCACCCAGATGATCTCACACAAGATAAGAGGACGTTTAGTAGAGGTCTTGGAGGGTTCACGTATCGGGTCTCAACTCACAATTACAGTCGGAAACTTTCAGGACCAATACTCATAGGGAGATCAGCTCCCACTAGCAGGGTTGATATTGAACCTTTTAGGACGGTTTATGATCGCGGGCTCGCTACCTGGTCATGACAGAAACCCCGGAAACTACATATCTCATCTTACCCCTCAACCAGATATTGTACATATTACGCCTTTACAATTTGTGGTTGTGAGGCTTGGCGGGGGGCAGACCTAGTGATGGAACAGATCAAACAGACTCAAAAGGGATGGAGTTGATATTTCTTACACAAAAGATGTAATGTGATGGAAAGAAAAAGAAATGCAACAAGACATCTATGTCTGATCCTGACACATATTTGCATTGGTCATCTACTGAAAAATAACAAGATAACGGTCGGCGTTATAGCGGTGAGCCGTTAGGCTAATTACGGATAGCCAACAAACTCGAACGCATCAATCATACAGACATAGGAGGCGTCTCCGGGAGATTCACTAATCATCATGGTGGGAGGATGCGCCATCCGGATGGATGCTAGAGTTCTGATCTGTGGGCACAATAGTAGCCTCGTCTTCGTTGTTGGAGCCGAAGTCAGACGTCTTGGAAGGAGGGATATACTCTTCAATTGAAAAGAGCGGCTCATCCCCTGCTTCCTTTGGGGACTGAGTGAATCCGGCTGTGTTGGCCAGAGATAGGATATTGCTCCACTGGGAGATCGGCACATTGCCTGGCCTCCATCCCCCCAAGGTGTGAGGATTCTGGGCGATGGTAAATGACAAAGCAAGATCTTCCTGGTAGCTCTGGCCTGGTACCCATGGTCCCTCCTCTATGACATGCCTGTCATTGTCCTTGTCCTTATAGGTCAAACATATATTGAGCCCATGGTTTTTAGGTGGAATGGTCCAAACATTGAAATCTAATTGTACTAGGACACCATCATTCAAGTCGACGGACTCCCCTGCTTGGACTAGATGCATAGACTCAGACATTGTGCAAGAGAACAGGTGTGATGATGCAAGGTGGTTGTCAAATTCAAAGTTATGGTACCAAGAGAAGCTGGTGTGGTGGTGGTTGTCAAGTTGATTCTTGTTGTTGTTATGTATTGGAGGAATCAGTGATCCAAAACTAGCTTTATACTTTTCCCTCACCCTCGGGCTCTCGGTGATCCTCATCATCAAATCAAGTCCGACGCCGAGCCCATCAACGGAGGTATCATGATGACGTCGTAGGTGTTGAAATTCACGATCTAGTATGGATTCATAAGATCTTAGAGAACTATGTAGAAGAACTATCTAGATATATATCACTGTCACGGCCGTCGAGCAACTACTTCCTAATAGACCGACGGTCGACGAACCTCGGCTAACTTCACGCTCTGAGTCGATGTCTCACCCAACCAGGAGGGCGCAAACGTCGAAAGGAGTGTAACTACGGCGTACTTCGGCGTAGTTACTCTAACTAGGGTTTTGTTCTACTGATGGCGATGTATCTCGATTTATAGCTATCTCTATCTGTCTTTTACTACTGACAACAATCAAGGATCGCTGAAGAACTTCAGCGATCTTCTCAGCTAATATAACCTATCCCTCCTAGACGTTCATCCAACCCTCCCGCGCTTTGACGTACTTCAACGCACTTCGTCCAACTTCTCCGAACCCCGGCCACCCTCTTCCTCCTTCGACTAACTCCGTCTAATATCGCCGCACTTCTGCTCCCATTGTCCCTACCTAGCCTAACTCCGCCTAACTTCGCCGCACTTCTGCTCCCATTGTCCCTATCTACCCTAACTTCATCTAACTTCGCCGTACTTGGTCTCAGAGGTCCTGAGTTACGTGTAGAGTAAAGAGGTTTGAGTCGTGATGGGGTTTTGATGGTCAAAGGAGGGTCGTTGTTGGTGGAATAATCGAGGTGTCACGACGTAGTTCGTGACAATCACCCAGGGGATATGTAGTCCTTAGTCATCTTTCCCACGCTCTAACTCCTAATAACACCGCAGTGTGGCGGGTCACCATTCAACACCCCCCTTGACACGATCACACTGCATGTTTACACCCTCGCCCAAAGTGCCACTTTCACCAGTCCATCCCTATTTCCATATTTCCTCGTTGAACCCTGAAAATTTTCACACGCTCCACATAAACAAACATCGCCCCGTCTCTTTTCTCTTTTACATCTCTACTCATCATCATCCTTCATTTCTTTACTATTTCTCTTGTCTCAACAGCTGAGTATCGCCGCTCCTACTGGTACGGAAGGTCTCTTCTGAAGAACTTGAGTTCAAACCCCACGCGCTACCTTCTTGTCGAGAGTCCTCCAGTTCACGCTGGACGGGCCAGGCGAGTTAACCTGTCGCCAAGTGCCTGCTGCCAGTTCACGCTGGTGGCTATGCCGGGTGATGGGGGTAATACGATCAATGAGTCTCTTCGACGTTGGAGTAGGGTTATGATATGAATTTGATGTTATGGTATGATTGCCAAGACGTTGCTTGACGGGGATATGATGGTTTCCAAGGGTGTGATAGTGAGTTGTGAGATCTTTCTTCTTCGCTAGATGTCCCCACTTTTCCTCATACGTCCTTTCCTTTTCCTTTGGAGCTTTTACTGTGACACGTATTGATAATGATGTTCCTTCTTGTTCAATTATTTTCTTGTGTGTCATGACGGTTGAGTGTGTTGTCATCTCGTCTTCTGTTGGACTATTCTTTTCTTTTATAAGTGTCTTTGCTTGTGGACAGTCATGTCGATAGTGACCTTCTTTTCCACACGTCCAACATACTCCTTTATGTTCTTGTTTACGACCCTTCTTATTCTTTATTCCCACTGCCATGAGAATTGTTCCGCACGTCACCACTGCAGTCATGCCGCTTTCCGTGACTACTTTCTCTGGTCTAATCCCAATATTTTCTGCATGTCTCCAATGTGCTGTTCCACCTACTGTTTTCGTAAAGATGTCTGCTTCTTGGAGTTCTGTCTCCACATATTCCAACTTGATCTTTTCCTGTTCGACGTGATCACGGATGAAATGATATCGGAGATCTATATGTTTACTGCTTTTATGATGACCGGGATTGTTTGAGAGAGCTATTGCCGACTGATTGTCGCAATGAATAAGAACGGGAAGGAATGTCTCTGTCTTGATTCCAAACTCTTTGAGAATACTGAGAACCCATGTTACGTCTTTGATTGTTTCTGTCAGAGCCATATACTCTGCTTCGGTCGTAGACAATGCTACACCTTTCTGTTTTACCGTTCCCCAACTGACTGTTGATCCGTAATATTTGACAACATATCCGCTTGTTGATTTACGATCATCTAGATCTCCAGCCCAGTCGGCATCACTCCATGCTTCCAATAACTTTGTCCCCCCTTTCCCACCTAATACCAATCCGTGGGTACGTGTACCTTTGAGATACTTGAGGACATGGATTCCAGCATCCCACGCTGCTTCTGTGGGACCTGCACAATAGCGACTGAGTACGCCAACTGCATAAGCAAGGTCAGGTCGTGTGGTTATAGCTGTCCACATTAAGCTTCCAACTAGTTGTTGATAACGTGTAATACCTTCTTTGCAAGCTGGACCATTTGCTTGAAGCTTTGTTTTAGAATCAAAAGGAGTGATAACAGATTGTACATTGGTAAGACCATACTTTTCTAGTAGTGTATCAATATAAGCTGTCTGTGTAAGACATATTGTACGTTCTGAACGGTTTCTTGTAATCTTCAATCCTAACATGAATTGGGGTTCTCCAGCGTCGGTCATCTCCCACCTTTGAGAGAGTTCTTCTTTAATAAGATTGACCGTGTTGATATCTTCAGCTGCGATGAGGAGATCATCAACATACGCAATAATATATGCTTTCTTCTTGCCTGTGAAGCGGTACACACCCCAATCCTGAGCTGTGCGACGGAATCCAAGCGTCTGAAGATGTTCATCCAACGCTTCCCACCATGTCCGTCCTGCTTGCTTCAAACCATATAACGCCTTGTGTAGTTTGACGCTATCACAACCTTTCTTCAATTTGTATCCTGGCGGGCTTTGCATGAAGATTGGTTTATCCAGTTTACCATTTAAGAAAGCTGACACAACATCCATTTGACCTAGTTCTAAATCTTCTTGAGCAACGATGGTGAGGAATATACGAAGAGATGTGAGTCGAGCGACAGGGGAATAGGTTTCATCGAAATCTTGACCAGGGATTTGGGAATATCCCTTCGCTACAACACGAGCCTTGTACTTGAGGATAGCACCATGTTGATCACGCTTGGTCTTGAATACCCACTTGCTTCCAACAAGAGTTCTCTCTGCTGGAGCAACCGTGTCCTCCCACGTCTCCGCTTTCTGAATGCTTCCTAATTCTGCATCCATAGCCTTCTTCCATTCCTTAGCTAATGGAGAGCGCATAGCTTCCTCATATGTCTTTGGGTCGTTATCTAAGATACTTCCTTGTACTGTTAACACCCATCCCTCTTCTTGCTCGTCACTACTAATGAGCTGAGGTCCTTCAAGAAGTAGGATTCTTGGTTTTCTTTGACGTGTTGATCTACGTGGTTCTATTGCTTGTTGTACAGGCAATTCTTGTTCTTCTGTTTCTCCTGTTGCATCCTCGCTTGGATCTACAGGCTGTTGAGGTTCTTCTACTACAGATTGTTCTTTTTCTTGTACGTCTTCAACTGGAGTAGGTTCTGACGGGATAGGAGTAGTGGAACGGACCGGAGGTGTTATTGATTCTGGGATTAGAGGAGGAGTACGAGTTGTTGTTGTTTCAGGAGGGGAAATGTCGTCCTCAGCCTCCTCTGGCTGACCTATTGTCTGCCTCTCCGTACCACTTTCCTTCTCTACATCATTTCCAGCATCTTTCTCCACGTCTACCACATTCTCCATCTGTGATCCCCCCTGCCTCGGGAAGACCACGTCTCTAGTATTGGTGAAACTGTCCGTGACAGGATTCCACACAATATATCCAGCTGACGTAAATGGGAGACCTACAAGTCTACCTTTCCAAGCTTTTGGAAGAGTTAAATCTGACTTTCCACCACGTACTTGGGATGGAATATGTACATAGACATCGGAACCAAATGGATGGAGATCTGCAAGGTTGGGTTTACGTCTGAAGAATCGTTCATAGACGGTGATGCCGTCTTCTCCAACCCTACACCTATTCAGCATACCACTCGCATGAAAGAGTGCGTACTGCCAAAACTTCATTCCTAGTCCACTTTGACGTAGGAGTGCTCCAACCATCTCCTTTAGAGTACGGTTCATCCTTTCTGCAACTCCATTGAGTTGAGGTGTATACGGTGTTGTTATTTGATGGATGATCCCATTATCTCCAATGAATCTATCCCAAACTCCACCTGAAAATTCTAGACCGCCGTCGGTACGTATGATCTTGACTTTTGCTTCGGCAATGTTTTCCAATTTCTTGACGGCGAGTATCATACATTGTGTTGCTTCTCCCTTGTTCTGGAGAGCCATACAGACAACTAGTTTCGTGAAGTCGTCCACTATACTGAGATAGTACTTTGATCCTTGATATGATAATTGGAGTGGACCAGCAAGATCACAATGAAGGATTTCAAGAGGTTTTGTTGCACGAACAGGAACATCGGTAAATGATAGACGGGTTGATTTACTGATCATACAGACGTCACATTGATCTCCTGTGAAAGGTGGTTCTGTTGGTTCAATCTTGAGTAGATTTGCTTTTTCAAGTTTCTTGATTGACGTAACTCCAACATGTCCCAATGACTCGTGCCAATCCTTCAATGTCTTGCTTGGTATAGGGGTTTCACCAGATGACGCTAGTGCAGAGCCCTCTTCTACTCTATGGCGTGGTAGATGTACCACCCACAAACTTCCCATACGCTTCATCTTAAACACCTGTCCATGACCCTTGATGTCTCCTCCAGAAGGCATAAAACTAACCGTCCATCCTTTGTTCATAATGACGTTTGGTGATAAGAGATTGATCTTTCCACCTGGAACATAATGGACGTCACTAATTTTGAAGACCTTGCCGGAAGGGGTTGTACTGAGGACAGTGCCGGAATGTTTAGCGGTGAGAGTTCCATTTTCAGATACTCCATTTAGGATCATAGGGATTTTGAGAGGAAGGATATCAGAGAGGAGGGATTTGTCGTATGTGAGATGATGAGTGGCGCCGGTGTCAACCACCCAGGTTGACTCGTTGTGTTTTTCATCGTACTGCTGAAGCAGTTGCCACCCTTCATACGTAGCCATTGCCATTGGTACTCCCTTCTCTCCCTTCTTCTCACGGGCTGCTGTTGCTGCAGTACCCTTTTCTTTCTTTGACGGTTCAGGACAATCGATCCGCCAGTGGCCAGGTTTGCCACAATTCCAACAACTACCAGGAGCTGTACCTTTTCCCCCATGTTGTTTTTCTTCTTTTGGTGCGCCGTTGTTACGACCACCCCTCCCTCTAAATCCACCTCTACCTCTTCCACCACCTCGTCCACGCTGAGCTTTTCCTGCATAGAGAATATTTCCATTACTGGCTGCATCCTTTTCTCTTGTTTCTGAGACTTCTCTTGCACGCATTTCTTCTAGGTACATAGCATGTAGAGCGCGGAAGGTTTGTTTGTCGGATGGAAGATTATGAAAATCACGACGGATATCTTTGAGTGAATAAGGGAGTGAACCCACAAGTATGTCACAGCGGGCTGTGTCGGTTGCAAACTCTGGGAGACCTGACTTGATCCCACGTTCTACTAGAGTTCCAAAACGACGTAGATGTTCTTGCATGTCACCACCATCTGACAGATAGAACTTGGATAATTCGGTTCGTAGGTCGGTGATGACTGATGCTTGCTTGAACTGATGTGCATCACAAATGAGTGACCACGCTTCGGAAGCAAGTTCCATCCCGTTGATTTGCCAATGGAATGCTTCATCAACTGATCGTAGAAGGAGCGAGAGAGCTTCTTGATTACGCTTTTCCCAAAGCAAGAATTCCCTCCTCCTCTGATCCATACTAATTACTTTGCCCTTCTCATCTACCTCTATCACGTCCTCTTCATCATCTGCCTTCTTGTCCTCCGCTTTCTTATCCTCATCACTTTTGCCACCGTCACCTTCCTTTTGTCACGGCCGTCGAACAACTACTTCTTAATAGACCGACGGTCGACGAACCTCGGCTAACTTCACGCTCTGAGTCGATGTCTCACCCAACCAGGAGGGCGCAGACGTCGAAAGGGGTGTAACTACGGCGTACTTCGGCGTAGTTACTCTAACTAGGGTTTTGATCTACTGATGGCGATGTATCTTGATTTATAGCTATCTCTATCTGTCTTTTACTACTGACAACAATCAAGGATCGCTGAAGAACTTCAGCGATCTTCTCAGCTAATATTATCTACTCCTCCTAGACGTTCATCCAACCCTCTCGCGCTTTGACGTACTTCAACGCACTTCGTCCAACTTCCCCGAGCCCTCGGCCATCCTCTTCCTCCTTCGACTAACTCCGCCTAACATCGCCGCACTTCTGCTCCCATTGTCCCTACTTAGCCTAACTCCGCCTAACATCGCCGCACTTCTGCTCCCATTGTCCCTACTTAGCCTAACCCCGCCTAACATCGCCGTACTTCTGCTCCCATTGTCCCTACTTAGCCTAACCCCGTCTAACTTCGCCGTACTTGGTGTCAGAAGTCCTGAGTTACGTGTAGAGTAAAGAGGTTAAGGCGTGATGGGGTTTTGATGGCCAAAGGAGGGTCATTGTTGGTGGAGTAATCGAGGTGTCACGACGTAGTTCGTGACAGTCGCCCCCTTCTTTAGCCGCGAACGTCCTCGTGAGCGATTACACCTCTGTCGTGGCAAGAGAACTTAGCAGCGTAGTACCCCATTCTCTCCCTCCCCATGACCATCCTCCACTCTTCTGCTCTTTGCGCCGCACTTCGTAGTTGGGCCTCCTTTCACTCCAGAACCCGACAATGAGACTCCCCTAACTTCGTCGAGGTTTGCCGTAAGAAGCCCTGTGTCTTTTGTAGGTGAGACACGCTTCCTGAATGGCAGCCGAACAACACCGTTGTTTGTCGAAGTAACCCTCGCTTATATTGAGATGAGACACTATAGCGTGGGAATTTTGATCGTCCCTGCGATGCCTTTTGTTGATGAAACGCGAAGTTTGCTGCATGTTGACGACGAGGGGTTAGGTTTGATTATACTAAATACTGAGCAGTTCGTCGAGCTTCTCTCTTTTTCCCATCTGCTTTCAAAACTTTCTATCTCTCTTACCTAGAAAACAGATTTGTTACCTTGAATCATCTTTTATTTCATTTAAATATCTTAACGTCATGGCCCCTTCTACTCCTACATCTAACCCTTTCGCCGCCATGAGGAACTCTGGTGGTATGGTGTCGTCTGCTCGTGAGTTATTCCTCGACACTTACCTTACTTCGCCGGACTTGGCTGATGTTCAGTTTCCTTCGGCGACAGATCTCGCCAAGTCTCCTCCCTCGGCCTCGGCACCCTTTCTTTGGGGGAGCCGTCTGGCGATGTCCCGCCTCCTCGCTCCGCTTCTCCTCCCGCCGGTCCTCCCGCTGGTTCTCCCTCTGCTTCTCCTCCTCCTGGTTCTCGCTCTGCTTCCCCTCCTGCCGCCAGCCCTCGCCGCAGGACGCCCGCCTTTCGTCCTGGTGAGTCTCCGTCCTCCTCCGACCAGGAGTCGCTCAGTGGTTCGGAGTCGGACGATCAGTCAGACTTCGAAGGAAAAGGGGGTGATTATAGTGATGAGGATGATAGAATCGTGTCGGAGGGTGAAACCGAGTTAGAGGAACACTCGGATGATGATATGGTGGCGGTTAGTGTAGAGGACAACAACGTAGATAGTCCTGAGCGTGAGTTCTTCGTCCAACCTCTCACACCTTCGCCGAACTTGGCCTTGTTTATCTGTTCTTTAGCTCTCCAAGACATTGCTAACTCGCAGCCGCTCCTGCCCCTCCCCCTGCTCAAATTGTGGGCCAGAAACGACGCCGTTCCCTCTCCTCTTCTTCTTCTTCCTCTTCTTCTTCTTCCTCTTCTTCTTCCTCTTCCGGGGTTCTCCCCCCCCCCAACGCCATCGCCGCTGCTGCCGCTGCTGCCGCCGCCCGCCCTGCCGCCGCCATCGCTCCTGCTGCCGCCGCCGGTCCTGCTCCCGCCGCCGGTCCTGCTCCCGCCGCCCCCGTCGCTGCTCCCCCCCCTTCTCCCAGAGGGGAGCCTTCGCCCAAACGGGTGAAGAGATCACTGCGGGAAGAAGAGTACTTGTGGCCGGTGAGTCCACCTATTCGTACTACGCCGAAGTTACTCCTGCTAATTAGTAGACGTGAGATTATCCACCTATTCGTACTACGCCGAAGTTACTCCTGCTAATTAGTAGACGTGAGATTATCCTCCGTTGTGCTTCATGCACGTCTGGCCCCTGCTCCTTCTGTCCCGTTTCCTCTGCCCGGGACATCCCGCCCCGTCCCTTCGACGCTTCTCCTCTCCCCCCTCCCCAGACTCCAGCGTCTGTCCCCCGTTCGCGGGTACCGTCTTCGTCTCTCCGGTCGGTTCGCCGTACTTCGCCGGACCCCCGCCCGTCGCCTCCGTCGCCGTCGCCCTTCGCTCCTGTGGCCGGCCCATCACGTCTCCCGGCTGTTCCTCCTTCGTCTTCTCGCTGTCCTTCGGCCTCTGCTCCTTCGGCCTCCCGTCCTTCGGCCTCTCGTCCTTCGGCGCCACGTCCGTCCTCTCCAGTGGTAGCTTCTCCTCCGGCTCACAGCACCCGAAGTCGGCGTCCTTCTGTTCCTCCGGCCTCTTCGGCGGCCCCTCCCGTCACCCCTCCCTCTGCTTCCCAGAGGACACCGAAGTCTTCTTTAAAGAAGTCAAAAGGGAAATCTAAAGGGAAGGAGGTTGCCTTCAATGATGGTGATGTGGAAGGTGAAGATACTCAGCGTGCTGGTCCCTCTGCTCCCCGGTTGTCCCTCGTCCACCCTCGTATCTCCCTGGACGTCCGTATTCCTGAGGACGAAAAGGAATTCGCCACTTATCGTTCTCTCGTCCTCGGTCTCACTACCCAGCTTGAGGCCGCCCGAAATGATACATCTCTCCTGCTTGACTTCTCTTCTCGTCAAGCTAACGCTTTAAACAATCTTACTGCGGCGTTAGTAGATGTAGTCAACACTGGGGCTCTGGACGACGAAGCAAGGACAAGGTTAGCGGACGTCTCTCGCCGAAGCCTTACTGAGATAGCCGATGTTCGCCGAAGACTGTTCGACACTCCCTTCCTAGTCACTCCTATGGCGTATGAGCCACCACCGTCCCTTGACTGGTTAGGTCGCCGTAGTAGTTCTCGTGTCCCAGCTTCCGCCCAGACTGCTCTCGACCTCCTCAGTCTTCCCTTCGAGTGTCTACGGACCATACGTTCTCTGTGGAGGACTCCAAGCATGCAAGCTGCTCGAGATGTCCAGGACTTCGGTGACTTCTTCGGGGCTATGAATCGGGCATGGAATGCTTCTCTCTCTACTGCGTTCCCGTCTGAGACTCTCGATCTACCTTCGGTCATCGGTAGCCTCCACACCAATCCCGCGGGACCGAGTAGATCGAAGGAGAAAGGAAAAGGAAAAGGTAAGGGTAAGAGTAAGGACAAGTGAGCGGTACGTAGCTGTAATCCTATGTTGTATGCAGTACGTTCTATCTCCTAGCCCTTCGCAGTCGCCCCTCCTTCGGCTTAGTAGGGTGAAGTTCGTGGAACTTCGCCAATATGTCGTCAGCTCCATCGACGTTCTCCACTGGTTCCCATGATACTGAGTCGTCTGTTCCTTCGTAACCTAACCACTCCACCAAGTACTCTAACTTTCCTGATCTCTTATTTACTCTAGAGTCTACAATATCCTTTACCTCCCAAGACTCTCCCACATTGTCTACTTCTACTGGGCCAGGTGGCTCAGCTTGCTGACCAGGAAATATTGGAGGGTGATAAGGACGGAGCAAGGAGACATGGAATACATCATGGATACCTGCCATCGTTCCTGGTAATTCCAATTTACAAGCATGAGAACCTACCTGCCGTACTACCTTGTACGGCCCACTTTGTTTAACATCTAACTTCTTCATTGGTCTCTTCGTCTTAATATTCTCTAACGACAGCATCACTAGGTCTCCTTCCGCGAAGTTCGGCGTAGTCCGGTGTTTCCTATTGTATCCTTCGGCGTACTTCTCATTAGCTTTCTCAATTCCTTCGATACAATCTTTGTGTATTTCAGTCAAGTCTTTTACCACCACCGTAGCAGCGGGCACTTCGACTTCGCTGGCCTTGATTTCTTCAGCCCATCGAGGGTGGTACCCATAGTTCGCATAAAATGGTGTCTTATTTATCGCAGAATGATGGGTGTTGTTGTAGGCGAAGCTAGCTCGAGCAAGCAGCTTCGACCAATCGTTCTGCTGATAAGAAGTGAAGATTCGAAGGTAGAGCTCTAAGGATTGGTTGGTTCGTTCAGTCTGTCCATCAGTCTGCGGATGATATGCAGTAGAGAGATGTAGTCTTATCCCGAGACTATCGGTCAAGTTCTTCCAAAATTTCGAGGTAAACTTCGATCCCCTGTCAGACACTATGTTCTCTGGTAGCCCATGCTGAGCTACCACATAGTCCATTATCAACTCGGATAGGCCAGCTGCGGTTAACTTCGTCGTAGTCGGGATAAAAATGGCCCATTTGGTCAACCGGTCCACCACTACTAAGATGGAATTGTATCCATGGGAATTCGGGAGCTCTTCAATGAAATCCATCGAAATGCTGGACCATGGCTTCGTAGCCACTTCCAGTGGTTTAAGCTCTCCATGGGGTCTCTGCCTGTTAGTCTTTGCTCTCTGACACACCGCACATCCAGCGATGTAATCTTCAACATCCTTCCTTACTCCAACCCAAACGTAGTCCCGTAGGACTAGCTCGAGAGTCTTCGCTGAGCCTGGGTGACCCGCTAGGACCGAGTCATGCCGCGTCTTCATTATCTTTAGTCGAGCATCGGCGTAGTTCGGCACATAAGTTCGACCATCGAACGTGAGGAACCCTCTTGAATTCCATCCCCCACGAAGTATTAAGGGGGACCGCGAGGTACGGCGTAGTTCGGTGACCGACTCTGGTTCCTGCACATTATCGTGACATGTCAGATGAGAGCACTTAGCACAGGTTACCCCCAGTAATTCTTCTCTAACCTCCTCCACCTCTTCGTCTTCCTGTATTCCAACTACCAAATCCATAGGATTAATAAGGTCACTCTCTCTTACTTCCTTCGTCCCTTGCAAAGCACGAAGTAGGTGTTGTAACCCAGAGCTAGTGCCGTCGAGTTCGTCGAACTTCGGCAACCCTTGAATAAGGTTGCTCTCCTGCACCATAGTACTTCCTTTTCCAGAGTGGTAGTCTGCTCTTCTCGATAGTCCATCCGGCAGTGTAGCTTGTCTCCCAGGTCGATACACCATCTTAAACCTAAAGTTAGAAAGCTCTTCGACCCACCTGCCCTGCCTCGGGCTTAACTGCTTCGGTTCCATCCAGTATGTCAAGTTCAAGTGGTCCGTGAGAACTGTAGTTTCTACCTGTAACAGTAAGTGTCTCCTTCTTCTGAAAGCCTCAACGATAGCTAGTAGTTCCTTCTCGCCTACCGTGTAGTTTAACTGCGCCGCTTGAAACGCTCCTGACTCGATCGCTACCGGATGTTCTTGTCCTAACTCGTTCACCTGCGATATTATGAAACCCCACCCGAAGAACGAGGCATCTGTCTGTAGTAATGTCTTCAACGAGGGATCAAAGTGAGCCAATACCGGGGCCCTACACATTCTATCCTTCAACTCTTTAAAAGTTCTTTCCTGCTCCATACCCCTGACAAACGGTACATCCTTTCTTGTGAGGTCATTGATCGGTTTAGCAATCCTAGAGAAGTTGGGGACAAAACGCCGATAATAACTAACGACTCCCATAAATCCTCTGCTCTCTCTTAGGTTCTTGGGACGGGGAAAAGACACAACAGCGTCGATGTACTCTGGATTACTAGAAACTCCCTCCCGTGAGACCACAAAACCCAAGAAGACTACCGAGTCCTTTTCAAACTCGCACTTACTAGCCTTGACGAACAGATTCGACCTTCGAAGAACTTCGAATACCTTCGCCGTAGTTCCTCTCAATTCTTCCAACGTCTGACCATAGATGAGTATATCATCTATATAGACAACTACTCCTTTCCCCAACAGTTCTCTGAAGCTTTCATTTAGGAAATGCTGGAATACAGCAGGAGCATTTCGCAGACCATCTCGAACAACAAGAGACTCGAACATACCGTACTGAGTTCTGAACGCCGTCAGGTGTTCGTGTCCTTCCTTTACCCGTAGGAGTTGATAAGCTCCAATCAGATCTAACTTGCTGAAGTACCTCGCTTTTCCTAGCTCTTCGGTTATCTGACCGATCAGAGGCAGTGGATAGGCGTCGGGTATCGTTGCTTCGTTTAACTTTCGGTAGTCAATGACCATTCGCCATTGACCTTTTGCTTTCTTCGGTACCAAGAACATCGGTGATCCATAGGGCGAATTACTGGGTCGAATTCTTCCGGCCGATATTTCGCGATCTAGGATGTCTCTCAGCGCACTTCTCTGATCTTCTCCAAGCGAGTAGAGTGGAGCAACCTTCAGGTTCGCCCCCTCCTTAAGATCAAACTCCAGATCATAGCCCCTCGAGGGAGGTAATTCTTCACCTCCCTTCCTTGGGTTAAAAACATCAATGAACGAGTGGTATTGTTCAGGAACCACCTGATACAATTCCTCCTGTTCCTCCGGACTCAGTTCATCCTGGTCATCTTTGTCTCGGAGATCTATCGCGTCCGTCGGAGTCGGCAGCCCTATGGCCGCTAACTTCGCCGCACTTGGTGAGGCTGGGATGGGAAATTTCACCGAGTTGTCTCTTCCATCAAGGACAACCCCTTCCTTCCTCATCCAATCCCACCCTATCACAACATCTGCGTCGCAGAGCGTTGTTACATCGAGACGAACAGATCGCACTTCGGCGTCCTTCGTCAAACTAAATCCGACTTCGACAAACTCGGTGATAGGTCCCGCGACACTCACCGAGCCGTCGAACATGTGAACGGGTACGCTCACCTGATATTGTCTCCTTTCTGCGCCTATCTTCGTCGCCGCTCTAGGACTTATATATGAACAAGTAGCCCCGGTGTCCCAGAGCGTAGTTAGCTTCATTCCATTAATGAAAATGTCCGATTTAGGTTGATCTCTGGAAACGGAAGGGATGAGGAGATGATTATCGACATTGCATGAACAAGGGGTACTGAGTGGTGTATTTTTGTATTCACAATCCTCTGGCTCCATCAGCTGTGTTTCTTTTATGGGTTTGGGAATGGTGGCCGAGAGAATATGGCGGACCCGCCGAGCCTCGCCTACTGCGACAGGTCCTCTTCTTTTCCCTGGTCCTCTTCCAAATCTACTTCTCCTCCAACCGCATTCAAGTTCCTCCTCTGTCCGAGAGGTACTGCGTTCCCTCCCGATCCTCCACCACGTTCTCCGAACTTCTCCCCCCATGGAGGCAACAGTCCAACCTTAACCTTAGCCTCCCTTACAGGGCATTCCTTCAGCCAATGTCCTGCTTCACCACACTCGGTACACTTCCCCTCCTTCCTCCTTGTCTCCCTCAGATCGGAGCTCGGCCTAGGCCATCTTCGGCGAACTTCGTCGATGTTTGGCGGTGTACTCTTTACCACCGTCGACATCATAGCCGCCTGGGCACCACCCTGCGCCGAAGGTTGCCCCTTTTCCCATTTCTTCTCTTCTTTCTTCTCCGTCCTCTGACTTTCCACCACTGTCGTTGTCCTTATCCCTCCTTCCCTTTTCCTCTCTGCCTCCTTCTCCACTTGTCTCCTCCACAAGCGGTTGTCCAAGGGAATCACAAACTCCAATAGCTCTTTTACAGTCCCAAACGATCTACCGTGTCTTGCGATTTCATCTAGAAGGTGCGATTTTAGTCCTTTCTTGGCTCGGTCAACTAGGTTTCCATCATCAGACCACTTGAGAATCGCAACATGTCGCTGAAAGGCGGAGAAGTAGTCCGAAGCAGACCCGGTTTGCTTGAGGTCGTTAAGTTGTCGGGCCGCAGTTCCTTCTTCGTCTGGATCACCAAAGTTAGTCTTGAGGTACTTAACGAACTGATCGTGTGTCGTGAGGTACTCAGGAAGAGGTCTTTTGGATAGATCGGGCTGCACTGCAAGAAGAGGTGTTTCGCGTAGATGAGAGATCATGAAAAAGACTTTCTTAGTGTCGTCGGGGAAAAGATGAGAGTTCAATTCGAAGTGTACGTCGCACTCAGACAGAAAGGCGGTTAACTTGTTCCGATCTCCTCTCCATAGGTCTGGGTTAGGTAGCTTTATCCCTTTCCGTTGTTCGCCCACTACGCTTGGGGTCGCCGAAGTTTGCCGTCCCATGGCGTACCTCACCCCTTCTGATATCCCTTCTGCAATCCCGCCCACTGTATCCCTTTCTCTTCTCTGTTCCCATTCCTCCCTACGTCTTCTCTCCTCCATCATGTCTTTGTTCATATTCGCCACCATCTGCATCAAGGCCAACACCACCCCTTGTGTTCCTTCTTCTCCCAAGTTCGCCGTACTTCCAGTGTTTTCTCTTGGGCGTGGGGTTTGGTCTGATCCAAGTGGGGATCCCACAGGTGGGAGAGCATTAGACGGAGGAGAAGGAGGGTTAGAAGGCACCGGTGGAACGAACTCATCTCCTTGAATTGATCCCCCCACACTATCCTCCACTCCAAGGTCCTGCCCCATTGCTCTGCTAAGCTCCTCCAATGCTCTCCTCTCGTTCTCCTCCATCCTGTCTCCATCCCTACTCATGCCTCGTGTAATTCTTCTTTCTGGTTCCATATTATCTTCGTACTTCTCCGAGGTTCGCACCGGTCGTCGGTAGGAGCGATCCTTGATACTGTCACGGCCGTCGAACAACTACTTCTTAATAGACCGACGGTCGACGAACCTCGGCTAACTTCACGCTCTGAGTCGATGTCTCACCCAACCAGGAGGGCGCAGACGTCGAAAGGGGTGTAACTACGGCGTACTTCGGCGTAGTTACTCTAACTAGGGTTTTGATCTACTGATGGCGATGTATCTTGATTTATAGCTATCTCTATCTGTCTTTTACTACTGACAACAATCAAGGATCGCTGAAGAACTTCAGCGATCTTCTCAGCTAATATTATCTACTCCTCCTAGACGTTCATCCAACTCTCTCGCGCTTTGACGTACTTCAACGCACTTCGTCCAACTTCCCCGAGCCCTCGGCCATCCTCTTCCTCCTTCGACTAACTCCGCCTAACATCGCCGCACTTCTGCTCCCATTGTCCCTACTTAGCCTAACTCCGCCTAACATCCCCGCACTTCTGCTCCCATTGTCCCTACTTAGCCTAACCCCGCCTAACATCGCCGTACTTCTGCTCCCATTGTCCCTACTTAGCCTAACCCCGTCTAACTTCGCCGTACTTGGTGTCAGAAGTCCTGAGTTACGTGTAGAGTAAAGAGGTTAAGGCGTGATGGGGTTTTGATGGCCAAAGGAGGGTCATTGTTGGTGGAGTAATCGAGGTGTCACGACGTAGTTCGTGACACCTTTCCCTTATCTTCTGCCTCACTTGGCAGAGGGACTTGAGCGGGCTCGACTGCCGGCTCTTTCTTGATGGTGATCTCGGTGCGCCTGATGGATGGATCGACGGGTTTCTTGGACTTGCTAAGGAGGATATCGACATAACCTCCTGCATAGGCAGCGTCAAGGACGGCTTGATGCCAACCAAAGAAATTCTTGCCGTTGAGTACTGGTTTGACAGCACCATTGACGAATTCGAAAGTCTCTTGCTTGGGAGGCATATTGTACTTCTTGTAGATGTGTTACTGGTGTAGATGGGGCGGTATACGGTGATTCAGATATTCTGATTCCAAATCTGTTGAAATTCACGATCTAGTATGGATTCATAAGATCTTAGAGAACTATGTAGAAGAACTATCTAGATATATATCACCCAGGGGATACGTAGTCCTTAGTCATCTTTCCCACGCTCTAACTCCTAATAACACCGCAGTGTGGCGGGTCACCATTCAACAGTAGGGGCGTTTGGCTAGAAGTTTCTAGCGTCAACCTTTTTAGTCTTCTTCATCGCCTTCCAAGGGTGAAACGAGATGTTCCCTTCACTACGGTGTTTGAGTTTAAGTTATTCCCCTTCGAGGAAATCTAGGCGGAGAGAGGCGATACGGTCTAGTAGCATCATCAAGCCGGTTGTCGGCACAAGGATTTCAAGGAAATCGGCAGACAACGCTAGAACAAACTCAAACAACTCCACCGGACGGATCTATCCACGACTTCGGCTCGAGCAACTTCTTTACCCTACTACCCATGTCATCTCTTCGTTTACCGTCTCAGGTCTGAAAGTAGTAGGACGGTTGTTCGTATTCTCACTTGCTACAACACCGAGCTCCTCTCTAGGTGAGAAACCGGAAACGTACTGGTGCACGACACTTCTTAGACTACTACAACGGCCGCTTTCCTCGGTGGACTTACTGTAATTTGGATTGCAGCTGGAAGATCAATCCTGGATGACAAATTCCATGTCACACCTGATCAATATTTATTTGTTCCATAATCAAAGCTCCCTCCCTCTTTGTTCCTTGTTGTAAGCCAGGTATCAGTGCGTGCGTCATCAAGTGAGGCGAAGACCTTGGGTCAGGCTTCGGAGTGGTCTGCAGAATGTGAATGACGGAACAATGATTCTCAATACAGACTGGGCATGCCCCTAGACTACCTGACATAGTCCACTTACGAAGACAGTGACCACTGAGGGGAGTAGCCCTGATGGGTATTGCAATAAGAAGGTATGTAATCAGGTGAGAGTTGCTTATCAATCGACCGGCCAACAGCTGATGAAATGACGGATAGGGTACAGTAAGATTTACCAGTAGATAGACAAGTGCTGTATTTGGGAGCTGGCTTTCGTGCAATCATGTATGCGCATGAAATACATCAGTGCTTCTCTCGCAATGACAGTCTACCTACTTCCAACGACCCTACACGCTTCATCGTCCATAACCAATTCCGGTTCCGGGGGCACTGTTCAAGAGTCTCAATACTCATCTGATTGTTGTCAATCTAGGACCCATGCTACGACCCTTTGAGTACGGCTGATCATGCCCTCTACATAACTTGGTCTTTGATATGCTTCTGAGGGCATTAAAGGCCAAGAATTGTGATCTAATGGAAGAGTCGCATGGTTGCTTTCGAACAAAGCCAAGTGGAGAGGGTCAGAGGTAGAAGAGGGTGGTATCTCTTTGGCGGGGATACCTGTTGACGCCCTTTCTGTAGAGGAGGAGGATCGTGTTCTTCCTCCATCAACCACCCATTTGTACACTTCGAGGGCACCCCTCTGGATTGCGGAACAGACTGTGGGGAGTATACCTTGGTTGCTTCTGTCAGGCTTGTCCAACAAAAGGGATGGGCTGACGGAAGGAGTAGTCATGTTGGTAACGGGGCTGAAGGATGGATCAGGGAGATATTGCTGGGAAGATTGTTGGATCTTATAAGGCTGAAGAGAGGGGCTGCCATCTTCAAGGTATTCAGAGGACGGCACTGTCCCATTTGCTGAGCTGACTTGAAAAAATGTTGGAGACCCATGATCCCTCTCAAAAACGCCTGCAGCCGCTAGTATCTCACAGACCTCTCCCAAAGGTTTAGCGACCTCCTGGAGTGCCTGTTGAAGATTGCATTTCTCTGGCCACTGAAGGCTGATGTTGTGGTGACCTGCACTGGTTCCAATGCAGAATCTTGTACCGCCTGGGATCAGTGACATTGTTGCTTATGTCAAGTTGTTGTATGTGGAAGGGCGGATAGGCGTTACTCAAGACCACAAGAGTGTTGGGCGCTATATATGTTTTGGGTGGCAAAAATGAACACAAGTAAGAAGAAGAGGGGGAAGAAGAGGTTTGATATGGTTTGAAGCAGTGGGGTTTGGAGAAGCTGTGCAGGGTTATGAAAGGATAACGTGGGAACTTCAAGTTGAGTTTCAACTTCTTACTCTCTTCTTGTGGCAGGAAGGACATAAGAAGACGCGTTTCAGGCTATAGTGTGAGTTTGGGAAGGGTGGAGTAAGTGAAGGGACTTCTCATGTTGATATTGAGAGGTCTAGAAGACATACAAGATGCTTCTGGCTTGATGAAGCAAGCGAGTGCTCTGCCAGTAGTCAGGAAACCCGAAGTTGAGCTTCATCCAGACGTGTCTCGGATCATGGTGTGTAGGCGCACGGGAGGATTATCGTACGCCCAAATTTGGGGTGATAGCATCTGCCCATTTACCTACGAATCATCATCTTGACGGATCAGGTCTCAAACTCGTCTACATGTGGGTCTGCCCTTTGTATGGTGCACCTTTCCTCAAGGCTAGGTGTGATGATACGCTGACAGGGCTGACTCTCGCCGTTAGTGGAACCATAAAAGCCCGAGTAAGCCAGATGAATGACATCACATTCATCAGTCCTTGGATCTGAGTAACTCCTTCAACGTCCTATGGAGTATCGTGACGCTTCCACCCCTCATTGCTCCTACGCATGTCCTCAAAGCGGCTGATCGACATAACAGGTCCCCCGACACCGGGTGATGAACGGGTCGCAGTGACCGTTGAGTTCTCCCCAGGATCGCCATGTCCGGGTGAGTGAGCAAGGAGACTTGCTCGGAGTTGTACATATACTCCCTCAGATAGGTATATGTGGACCATAGGGTGGCGGTTATAGGTATAAACCTACGGGAGAGGAGGATATCCGCCAGAGTAGAACGCCGATGTCCAGATTCGGTGTCGTTCTTGGAGGGAGGGAGACCTGTTTCGCCAGACGAAGAGGCCACGTTGGGCTGTTGAAGGGTAGACTCTGTGTGAGAGGGGTTTTCGGGTGAGAGATCATTGATAGCTGCATTGTCGGCGGTGTAGACTCTCCCTGAAGCCGTATTGCTTGAAGTACTTTGATTCACAGAAAGAGGGTCCATGTTGACGGAGGAGGGCTGACCATCCACATTCCCTATGGTTTCTCTACCTTGGCGACCTGGAAGGAGTGTTCCCGAAAATGGCGAGGTTTGGGATTGCGAGGAAAGTATTTGAGCGAGTGGGACAATCACGTCCCTCAGTGTGGAGAATCCTACCGTTGGATCCACGCCGGGACAGAATCTGAAGCTTACCTTCGTGCCCTCACTGCTGCAGGTCACTGTGACACTTGAGGTCATTTTGCGCTTATAACTGGATATTTGTAGACTTGTGCAGCTGGTCTGATCTGGTGGTCTGAAAAAGTGGTCACTGATGGTTGGTGTATTCCGGACTCAAGAGGTGCAGGAATCTCCTAGGGCTGTTCCAAAAAATAGTGCTTTGACTTGGGATTGTGATAGGAAAGCAATTAACGCAAGGATCGAAGATAATGTGGAAGACAGTCTGGAAAAGCTAGATTATATACCTTTCTCTCATGGTTGTTTGGACTGAAACACATTCATGAAGCATGTTTGGGAGAACTGGAGTGAAATGACAGGGGTATAAAGGGGTCAACTGGAGGGACGTTCATGCCATGGGAATTGTTCCAACAAACCAGATATCTCACACCAAGCAGGAGAGTGACAAGAGTTTCAATAGGATAGATTGGCAATGAGTGGGCAGTCAGACTAGTTTGATAAAGCAAGGGGCATGATCATCACTTGTCAGTGCTGAGTTTTCCATACCATATACCGGTCCGTATGGAGCACGGAGCTTGAGATAGCTACTTGAGTGTCCTAATTTCTAACTCCGGTCCTCACTCTAGCTCACCCAACTCGTTACAACCTCTAAGTCATTTAATAATATTGAGATGTTTGCTACTGTGACAACAGCTGACAGTTCTCCAATTTGGTTTGAAAACAGCAGGGGGATTGGGGGACAATCTACTCCAGTTGGAGAGAGGAACGCTCACGAGCTGATCACTACTGTAGGGACCGGTTGGTATGCTTGCTGCTATTTCTGACAAGTTCATTGGTGGATGTTTTTTGGTCTGTCTACCCAGAGTCTGTTGATACCATTTGAGCTGCTCTGTAACCTCCTGAGTATGCTCACAAGCAGTGTAACAGGCAGTGCCGGTATCCATAACCCCGGAAGAGGAGAACACAGTTTATGTCGTCTGTGAGTCCAAGCTAGAACAGTTGGTTACTGATAATCAGGTGAGAATACAGAGGGGAGAACTCATCAACTCTATCTATCTCTGCATTCATCATATGTCACTTATACATAACAGACCTGACTCGTTTGAAAGTCCATAACAATGACATAAGGAGTAAATTCACGGAAGGCAGAAAAAACTCCATTACTGACGGTTGGGGGGCCGGGGATGTCCATAATCATTGCTGAGAGCGGCAGTGAGCGTTGGTTACGCCTGGTGATTCTTAGCTCTGTAGAAAGCAATGAAGAACTACAAGGGATAAGGCGATTTGGTAGTATGAGGCGGCGCTTATCACTATGACGTGAATTTCAACAGGGGTACATTCTACCGCTACCAACAGAGAATACAGTAGTGAGAGCTATTCTCCTCTCTTCTGATGGATATGATCTTGGAGAGTCAGTGCCCACAGCGTCCCTCATCAAAAGGGGTTGGAGGCCGGGGAGCTGTGGGAAAGAGACTAGTCGCTTGATATGACGGTCGAGGCTAGGGTATCGGGACTCCCGATCTCGAGGCGACGCTAAGCTGAAAGATCGTGTGCATATAGTATGGTATAAAGTACACTTGAATAAATCTTCAAGCACCAACTACCAAGTCAACCTTTGGCACAATAAATCCCCCGTCCAAGGATGAGTTTCTCAAATCGTCCCAGGAGACGTGACTCGAATCGCCCCCGGATGCGTCTCCCGAATGTTGAACACGCTGATCTCCCGCTGATGTGTGTTCGGATGAGGCAGCCCTCCCACTGGATCCGGCAGACATGGAATCAGATGAAAGAGCAGAGAGAATGTCCGACAGATCAGATGAGCTCTTTTCTGACACAGGGGTTGACGGAATGGAATCTAGTCCTGGGGAGGAGGACCTTGAGGTACAGGCAGAAGTTAAATTGCACAGAGGGTCTTTGGTCTGGGAACGCTGTGTATGAGAGTGCTGCGGACTGAAGACAGAGGGAATCATTTGGTTGTGGTTCGTCCGGTTGGACCCACAAGCAACAATCGAGGTTAAATTGTCTACCTGGGCTTCCTGATGTGTGGGAGAAGCTGCAGTTGAGCGAGAAGCTGAGACACCCGTCATCGACTTGGGCGAGGTCCCAAATCGGGTGGTGGGTGGTGACCCTTGGAGTCCTTGTGAACTGGGAACTTCAGTATACCAGACATAAGGTATCACGCCATGACGTACCCAGGAGTTTGGAGTAATTGTTTTCTGGCTTCCCTGTCTCTGTAGATTGCTTCCATCCTGAGTACCCGCAGCGCATCGTGGATTGAGACTGTATTTTCACTCGAACACAGATATTCTATGAAGGTCGGGATGGCCAGGAGAGTCTTGTTGTCTTTAGAGGTCATAATACTCTTATTAGAGGTCATAATACTTTTGAACACTGCCTTTTGCTTGTAGTATGTATGGATGAGTAGCGATAAGGAAGCTGGTTTGGCTTCTGTTAGGGACCCCGCCGGAGACGGACCCCTCCGGAGTGGCACAGTTCCAAGTACCCCTCTTAGACCCACTCAGAGAATCGTACCGCTCTGGAGGTGTCCAGACCCACCCAGAGTAATTACTGCTCAACCGGACCACAAGATTTTTGATGCTAGTCCTGCAAAAGTATTGCTTGCCCCAATGATGACCTGGTTGACCATCCCTTCCCATGTGTGGTAGCAGACAAATCCTGCAATTCTTGCCCCAAATTTTGTATGATCACCAGAAGACATGGACTCATGATTGGTGCGGGGAATTTGGGAGATTGAAATGATGAATCAAGGCAGACTCATGGGAGATCCCTGCTCACAGATGAGAGTGTCCAGATCATGAGTCTGGATCCATATCTCTTTATTTTTCCAACTCAATTAGATCATTTATTGGATGTTTCTCCAGCTGGGTCTGTCAAGGGGTCAGACCACTCCGGAGTGGAACATCTCCCGTAGGGTCTGATCGCGTCCGTGCGGCTCCGGAGGGGTCCGTCTCCGGCGGGGTCCTTAACAGCTTCTCTTTATTGGCCCCCCCAGTAATTGACAATGATTGATTTTCACATGGGCGAAACAGTCAGGTCAAAGGTCGTGTGTTGCTAAAGAAGTTGAAACATATTGAGTTTGAAGACATATCATGGAGAGTTTGAAACTCCAAGATGAAAGAACACAGGAGGTACAGGGGATACATGAAACAAGTCACCAAATTCAGTCCGCGGCCGGGGCAGCTTTACTTGACGGCCGAACCCCTCCGTGCGCGGTCTAATCTAGTTGAAGCCAACTTTGCGCACGACACGAAATCTCTTCACGCACAACACTATCACGTACAATGCTCAGCAAGCGCATGGCCGGTAACGGTGGTGATGGATAAACCGGGTCTTTTAGAGATCTACTGGAGTGTCCTGGCGAGAAGCTACGGATATCTCTCCAGTGAAAGCTGTCATGTTTCTGATCCATACTCTTGTACGTCAAGTAACTTCTCGTATTGTGTTGTCGCCTTCATACCATTCTTACAACCACGTACCAAGAAAACACTACAACTACCGCATCTGACTTGCATGGTTAACGATCCCAAGCTCTTCCTTTGAAAGCTAGACGTCGGTGACTTGGCATAGATCAGGATGAAGTCCGGGCTGGCTCAACCCCATTCTTGCGTGGAGCGGAGGGGTCTGACATAACCTTCCTCAGTAGTCCTCTCCGGTACTCTTCACCACATTGGAGGCTCCATTCCCAAAAAGGGTGATCGGGGTCGAAGTCTGGAACCTGCAGAGAGGTCCATTCACCTGTCCACACCACAGTGTCAGGTTCCATCACACTAGGGCATCCCACTACCCTTGTTGAGCCATCCTCATCCTCAAAGATCAGTGTGGCAGTAACAACAATCCAATCCCCACCATCTGTATTATAGCCACGACGTACTTCTGCTGTACTGCTGATGGGGACTGAGACTTGTTCCGCTATTAATCGACATGACTGCAGCAGTAATCCTGGGCCCAGTGTTTCTCTTAAGCGTCTAAAGAGTTCCCACTGCCACAGCCGAGTGTATGAGATGTCTGTCGTCCGATCTGTTGGGATTCTTTTCAAACTGGACCGCTTGGACCTTTGACATACAAAAGAAGCTCGTCTCTGGCTAAATGATTGGTTGAAGATATCTATCTGCTCCAAGAGGGGAGTGATGATGGTCTGAGCAAAGGCAGTTCGAGCGTCCGCAGGCCAATTTTGTGTAGCTGGTGAGAGAGCCAGAGCTTTACTTATGTAAACATACACGTCATGTCTTGTGGGGACCCAAGGTGCATCCAGTAATGACTCATTGGAGCCCTGAGGTTGGAAAGGTTTTTCCCACAAGACCTGTGTCTGATGATCAAGTGGCTCCCAAGGCTGAAGTGAGGCTAAAATTGCTTGTACGTTCACAAAACCAAAGCTTTCAACAGCTGGGGAAGGATGACGTGGAAGATCAAAAGCTGACCATGTGGTAGGGAGTGGCTCCGATGTATAGGTAGCCTGAAGTCCGTTGTTGAATCTCGTTTTGAAATCTGATGGCCCCGTGGCCTTCGCGGGCTCTACCCGTGCAATGGCTATCTGGGTACGGGTGTTGAGTAGAGGTGACCTAACGGGGGTGAGGAGGAAGCAAAGATTCTTCTGCAGGCTCGTGAACAACCTCCTGACGCGGGAAAGACAATCTAGTGAGTTGGCCCTACTGACCATCTGTCTCCACTCCTCTATAACCGAAAGGTCGTAAGTCGAGAGGGACATGGTACCGGATTCTAGCCTGTCAGCCCCGGGCGTGCGTCTTTGGGCGTCGTCGACGGTGTTCAGGCGCGAAAGAACCATGAGAGACGTCGGAAACACGATGACAGAGCAATATGAAAGTAGGTTGATAGGCGGACACCCTACTTACCCCGCCACGGAACAAAGGTGGACCTGGGATGATTGGTTTCTGTGGGGGCCCGGACATCCAAACGACCTGCTTTCTCCTGCTCTCCTGCCTTCTTTTCGCGATTATATGCAATGAACCCCGAAGGGGACGCGCGAAGAAAGCGACGCAAGATATACGTTACTCGTGGTAACCGGGGAACGGACCAACCAGCAATCGGAACGTCCTTCCACATGATATATGAATGATGCTTTCTCTCGTCTACTATAAACATGCCTGATCTTCTGCTTGCTGCATCCCGCTACATGAAAAAGCATCCCTCTGAGAGTTTTGCCAGTGTTTCACTTTGCTACAACATCCCAAAAACCACTCTGTACAACCGCTTCAAAGGAGTTCACTCCCCCCGAGGGAACAATGTCGCTCGAGCCCTCTCCATCCCCCAAGCGACGGAATTGGTATGGTACAGTCACATAGCCACACTCGTATATCCGAGACTTGTGGTAACTCCGATGATCAGTACATAATTAGTTTGTGACCTGTTTCCTGCTCATCACTCTCAATAAGTGCTGAGCAGGTAACAGGTAACGGAAATCAAGGAGGCCAGATTGATCTCATCAAATTCCGTCGCCAAGATTACACAATTATCCACAAAATCAACAAGTATGCCAATCGTGGAACCCTTCTTACCCCTTGGTTTGTGAAAGAGCTTGCAGAAGCTACGGTAGGACGGTCACTTGGTCAAAATTGGACCTCGCGCTTCCTCCTTCGTCATCAAGATCGTCTCTCCTCTCAATATGTCAGGACCAGATGTTGGAAATAGTCTGCGTCTATGAGCTATAGCTATAGGGCCTCATAGGGAACAGATCTAGTGATGAAGTATGTAGTCTAGTGACGTCGTGGATCAAAGAGACTGCAAGTCGATGAGATCAAGTGGCAAAAGATTTACTAAGTGACAAGAAAAACATTTGACAAGACATCTGCAAAAAGGGGCTGTTTCCATATACTAACAGAGAAGCAGAATGATACCAATATCTATGGAGTAAAGATGGAAAATATTATGAGGTAGAGAAGCAAAGGAAGCCGGAGATGAGGGACACGGAGATGAGAAAAACTATTGAAAGATGAAAAAGAATTGAGGAGAGCGGGTCCGTAGCGGGAAAGGCAAGACGGGGACAGGCACGGGAGAAGAGATAGGAATTACAACTCTGAGTAAGACTCCAAGGAGGACGGCCTCTTGGCGCACCACCCTTTTCCCCTCTGCGCGCCACCCTGCCACAACACGTGGTCAGGTACACATAGGCCCCGGCGTTTCAGTAACGCCGGCGACGCGACAGCCTGACAAACATGGACTCGCCACTGAACGGAATTTCAGTAACGCCGCAAGCTCTGATTGATCACTCTTCTCTTTCATTGCCAATGACAGTATTAGCTATACCATGTCATTTCCTGTCATTTCCTGTCATTGTCCATGCATTTTACTATCTATCAAGGTCCAGGAGGATAATATGAGCCATAGGGATGTCTAGAAGACCCCTGGGAGGGATAGGGGGCCCAATATTGAGAGGATAGAGGAGGGAGAGTAGGTGGAAGAGGGGGGGGGGGGTGGTAGGTACCTGTCCTCAGTAGGATATGGAAGGCTGGAGAAACAACTTGGACAGAGGGATCGGTGTTAGGAACTAACACTGCAGTTCAGGAAGATATCTCTGAGCTCAGGAAGATGGTTCTTGACCTGGCCAGGAGTATTAAAGAGAGAGACAAGAGAGAGACGGCCAGGATCGGTCTGGAGACTCAAAATCGGCCTGGAATGGTGAGGACAGAGGACAGAATGGTGAGGACAGGAGAAATGATCACTAGGACAGGTTATTTGGTGGGTGTCTCATATGATAATGACATTTCTCCTTCCCTCCTTCTCCCCCTCACTGTCCTGCGGTCATTCCTGGCTATATTGCTCTGTCTCTGTCTATATTGGCCTCATGATTTCAAAAATTTTCACTCGTCTCTTAGTCTCTTGCTTCTAAAAGTTTCCTGCAAGCTGATTGGTCCAGGAGACACCAGGAAACGGCCAATATCAACCGAATGTGAGTCTCTAATACTGTATTTTTGGCTGTATCTGACAGGGGGTCACTAATGAGCAGGTACCCCCCATTTTCGACTTTTATCCTCCTGAGGAGAGGTACCTACCCCCCCCCTCTTCCACCTACTCTCCCTCTCTCTATCCTCTCAATATTGGGCCCCCTATCCCTCCCAGGGGTCTTCTAGACATCCCTATGGCTCATATTATCCTCCTGGACCTTGATAGATAGTAGAATGCATGGACAATGACAGGAAGTGACATGGTGTAGCTAATACTGACATTGGCGATGAAAGAGAAGAGTGAGCAATCAGAGCTCGCAGCGTTACTGAAATTCCGATCAGTGGCAAGTCCATGTTTGTCAGGCTGTCGCGTCACCGGCGTTACTGAAACGCCGGGGCCTATGTGTACCTGACCACGTGTTGTGGCAGGGTGGTGCGCCAAGAGGCCGTCCCAAGGAGCCTGTCCTGTGTAGTGGTGAGCCTGACAATTACCCTCTACACATCCCTCATTGCCTTAGCATGCTCCTCACGGAAGCCACGGTGCATGGTTCCTCGCCTTCCGCTCATGTGGCACATAATCACCTCCCTCCAAAGCCAAGACTTGTACTTTCAGGCCAAGGCTCGTGTGGACTTGTCTAGGCTCCACGTCTTCCCCTCTGCCTGCCGGGTTTCTGCAATCCATATTCATGCTTGCGTCATTGTGAGAGATACTGCGGGTATTCCTTGAGAGGACTCTTCCCTTTGGAAAACCCATGAGGTTTATCACAGTCACGCCTGCGACTAGACTGCAGTAGTAAAGTACTGCCTTGGATACTGAAGGGTTTTAGTCTCTGGCTCATAGAGCTTGATGACTGCCTTAGGTACTGAGGATACTGAGATGTTGGGTTAGAACCAACTAAGTGACTTTCACAAAAGAAGGTGAAGAGAAAGATGAAGAAGATACATTGCTGATGAAAAGAAACTATGTAAGGTCTATATGGGGTTTATATCTATTTCTGAGTCCATCCTGGGATCTCCGTTGTCCTGCGTAGGAAAGAGTTGTGATTTTCGATTGCATGTGTAAATTGAACCATGGATCAGAAAGCTGTGTGGTCTTTGCAACATGATGCGTACAATACGCTGTTTCCCACACGCAGAAGCACACATGACGACGTGAACCATATGTTCACCTTAACTCTAGCTAAACTGAAGTCTTGGGTCTGACGCCATACCAGGCATACTAACTGAGAATAACATAACTAACTAAAGGTTCAGGTCTCTTGCCTCAAATAAGAGCAGAACCAAACATGGAGAGACTAATACTTAGACCTTCTGCCTTGAATGTACAAGAGCAGAAAAAAATATGAAACCTTAATGATATAACATGAAACTAGACTTGGCGATTCATGACAATCACGTTCCCCACCATCACTCCAGGTTTCAAACTCAGTACAGTGTTCTGGCCAATGAGTCTCTTGACTAGGATACTCTCTTCATTGCTTTGTTTGATATCTGGATCAGATTGAGGAGCATGCTGTCCAGACACTTCTGTCAGCGCAACATGAGAAGATGTCAGGAGATAACATACCATTGGACGGCTCTTGCTGTTTTCTTGTACGCTTCTTGCTCTTTTTGGTACCAGACCTTCTCTCCTGATGAGAGTTACTGGATATGTCCTCAAGATTTTGCTCTGTCACTGAAAGACCAGAGAAGTCTGTACAATCCCTATCAACAGTAAAAAGAACACTTGAGACCACGCTTGCAACATTTGCTAATGAGTTGTTGTGACATGAGGAAGGTCATGTTGTTACCTAGTTCACTTTAGTCAGGCTTTGGTCACAGTTTAGGATGCATTGGGTATTCAACCAGCAACCAGCAATTGAAGAAATTGCCGGTTGATGGGCCTTTGTGATGCATACACCTTAAGGGTGATGTGCACTAAGCTCTTGTGCTAAAAGATCCAATGCTCAGCTCATACTATGAGCTGAGACCCTTTATAAACTGCTTGTACTGGGTGTCACGGACGGGGTCTAATCCCCAGAGGGTAGGCAAGGTGACTGGAATGGGGCTGTAACCCAATACTTGTCTCTGGCTCATAGAGCTTGAGGAGTATACGGAGGGTGACAAGGGACTGAGGGGACTGAGGGGACTGCAAGATGTCAGGCTGGGACTGACTGGATTGACACAAGATCCATAGGTGGGGAACAACCTGTTTGGAGGGGGTATTTATCCCCATCAAGTGGGTTGCTCAACATGTCTACGGAATAAACTAGAAAGCGCAAACGTGGGAAAGATTGCTCAGCGAGCAGACTGAATTACTACTTTGGGAAAGTGGAGGCAGGCACTGAATGTTCCAGACTATGGATGATTGCTCAGCAATCAACCAGAGTTACTACTTTGGGAAAGTGGAGGCAGGCACAGAATGTTCCAGAGTGTGGAGGCTTGATAAGCAAGTGGAGGTAAAGGTGGAGGCAAGGGTGGAAGGTTCCAGCATGTGGAGGTGGAGGTGGAGGTATTCAGGGGTATGCGTTTCAAGTGTCTGATTGCGCATAAGCACTTTGACAAGTGGCAGATAGGTGATGTATGACACTGGGGCCGACATTCTAGATTTATGACAGCCTCTTTGTGTCACGGCCGTTGTTTCTTCTTCTCTACTGACCGACGGTCGACAAACCTCGGCTAACTATGTTGTGGTGGGGTGTTGATGTCTCACTTGGACAGGGTACTTGCCGTGGAAATACGGCTGACTTTGCCGTAGTAATACGTCGAGAGGCAAATGACAGGATGATCGTCGATGCACTGCGGCTAACCTTGCCTTGGTACGTCGAACTGCTCGGTGGTAGCTCTCCCTAACTCGATGGTTGAAGGTACTGAATATATCTCTCGCTACTGACAACAATCAAGGATCGCTGAAGAAGTTCAGCGATCTGTAAACTATCTATACTTCCTCTCTCTTCTCGTAGAACGTCCTCCAACCCCTACACAGCCTCATGCTTAGTCCCCTTCGCTCAACATTGCCGTACCTCGCCATATCCCCAATATCCCACTCCGCTTACTTCGACTAACTTCGCCTAACTTCGCCTACTCTGCCCTCACACGGTTCCCTTCTCCTAACTTCGCTGTAGTTCTCCCTTAGGCGGGGTCGTCGTGATAAATGCTCCCTAGATTCCTATAACTTTGTCGTAGTCGGTCTCAGTGGTTCGGGGTGATGGTGAAAGGAGGGTCGGTGGTGGTGGTTGTCAGGGATGTCACAACACAGTTTGTGACACTTTGCCACAGAGGTTTAGATCACTGTTCTGATGGGCATTGTTATACGACCAAGGTGCTGGTTGGTCATGGTTTGTGACACATGACAGGTTGAGCCTACTACCTGTGTTAGTCTTCAAATCCAATAGATGTTGTACTTGGGGGTAGATGATGGTGATGATGGCAACATTGGTGTTTCAAAGAGGGGTGATGTAGTTGTGGTCACAGTGTGTTGCAACAATTTGTGACAGTGGACAACCCATCTTATAATCTACCTATTACAGCTGTCTGTCCTCCTTTGTTCTATTGAATCAAGTTTGACAGTCCTGCCTTGACCACTGTTGCCCCTTTACCCCTGAGTAGGCCATTGGGTTTACTGTTTGGGGATGACAGGGTTTGTGGTGGAGGGAGGAGAAAATGAGCAAAGGGTGTATGCATGAGAGACAACTATGAATGAGCAATTAAGAAGTTTTGAGAGTCCAAGCTTATTTGACCCCTCCAACACTCCCACGTGAGGACATGATTTCCATGCACATGTACATACTGTATCCATCAACATTTAGCAGTTCCATTTCCTGACTCCCTTCCCAACATGCCTCATCCACTATCTGTTCCACATCCTTCTTCATTTCCAACTCGTTGTTTGTATCCACCTCTGACTTATCTTCATGCCTCCCAAACATTCCTTCTCCCAACTCCTTCAGAGCTGTTACTTGAGCTTTGAGATTTGAGATGACTTGATTCAGACAAACAAGAGAACCAAACAGAGTGAACATGAGACCAGCGGAGGAATGAGTAGAGGTGGTGATATCTACTGACATGTTCCTACTTGAGTCGCAGAGCTCAGCTGGGATAACATGTTCTTGGATAGCAAATGAATCCTTGTGTTGTGTACTATCTATCCATTTCTGTTTACTTAGTATACAGTGGGAGCATTTTGATAGGGTGTTGAAGCGCGGATATTCAGGGGGAAGAATCAAACAGATCCGGTCAAGATCTTGACACCTCTGTGTGACGGTACTGGAAACACAACGACTAAGTTGCAGGTTGGGTTGAACTCAATGGAAGTCTCGTGGAAATCTATGTGTCTCTGATGCTATGTGGTGGATTGTGTCTCCTCTGCAATCGATGTAGCCAAATAATGATATTGTCACGACCTGGAACTTGCGTCTCAGGTGTGACAGATAATGTTGCCTATCTCAAGCTTGACTCACCTACTCCTTAGTTCACGATAGGTGATTCAGCCAAGATAGGTTATTAGAATAGGTTAGAATAGGTTAGAATAGGTCAGAATAGGTCAGAATAGGTTAGAATAGCTGGAGATAGGTTATTTCGTGATACAAACAGGTGATGCAAGTCTGAGACTCACCTATTCAAGCTATATCACGGATATGATTTCTATCTCTAGCTAGACTATAAAAGGCGTAACTACTTTGTGTTTATACATTCTTTCTCAGGGACTAGTGTTCCAACCCGTGAAATTCACGGGAGCAACTGCAGATGGTCAAGATGAATTTAGTGTATGCCCCAGTTCCCTAGTTGAACCATGCCAAATTTCTCCAAGTTCATGCATAGCATACGCCCCAGTTCCTCACCACCTACAATTCACCCCTCTCCGCCCCAGTTCCCCACATGCGGGAGGCTACTTACACTATATACACTACACACTATAAGTCTAATCTAAACTGCAAACCTATACACATTACATATTAAGCAGCCCTGGCTGCCAAGAGCACATCCTTATACACAATATTCTTCGTCTCACCTCTTCTCCCCTCCTCTGAATCCTCCAGCAAAACCTTGAGACCGTTCTTGAACCGTGCGCGAGAGAGACCAACATACAGCTGACCATGGGTAAATACCGGCTTTGAGAGACATAAGCCAACTGTTGCAAGAGATTGCCCTTGCGCCTTGTTGATTGTGAGAGCAAGACCGACTCGTATGGGAAATTGACTACGACGCAAGGTGAAAGGTAGGTTGGACGATTTTGCTGTGTCGAGTTTGATACGCGGGATGAAACACTTATTCGAATGGAAGTCACCGCCAAGAATGCACCCCTCAATAACATTTGGTAGAAGACGTGTCACATAGATCCGAGTACCGTTGCAAAGACCCGCAGCTGGATCCAAGTTACGAAGTAGAAGAACTGTTCCCCCAACTTTTACAATTGTCTTGTGAAGAGGGAATCCGCCAATTGTGATTGAGTTGAGATATTCAATGGGCCAGAGTTGCTGATTCAAAGGCCGAGCACGCGGGTTTGAAGCACCATCATTCTCCACGATCCAATCCGCACTGAGGTACATCCGAGATTCCCCACTAAGCTGGCCAAGGAGGGTCTTGTTTAATTCATCAACTTCGGCATTGGTTGGTGCAAGAACTGCACGGTCTGCAAAGTACTGAAGAGCAGCTTCTGTTGTCGGAAAACTCTGAGCCAGGTTGGGATAGACATGCTGCAGCAACTCATTTGTGGACTCCACCCGCAATTCCGGAGGTATTCTCAAAGTGTCTGACTGTTCCCCATCTACCAAACCATCCCCTACCCTGAGAAGCCACTCTGCAAACCCACTTGCTTCCTCCCTCTCAATATCAGACAATTCTGCACTCTGGAGCCGCATGTTGATAGTAAGTTTGAGCCGTTTTACCTTCTGCCACAGACGTGAGCTGGTCAAACATGCGCTCTTGATCTGTGCTTGACTCCCTTTTGGCACCACCGGCAAACACTGTCGAAAGTCTCCTGCAAATACCACTACCACCCCACCAAAAGGCTCCTCAGATCCTCGCACATCCCTCAGCATGCGTTCCACTGCCTCTGCACAGTGTCGATGCTGCATGGGCGCCTCGTCCCATATGATCAGCCTGGTACGCAAGAACAGCTTTGCGAGTTCACTTTGCTTTGAGATGCTGCACTGTGAGTCGCCATGAATGTCAATTGGAATTTTGAACCGGGAATGGGCTATGTGTTAACTCTGCACTAAATGAACTCAACACGACTCACCTGTACGGCCACCCTTTAGAAGGATTGCACATATACCTGAAGATCCGACCATCAAGACGATGTCACCTTGCCCTCGCAAAACCGCTGCTACCGTGTTCTCCACAAATGTCTTGCCACAACCACCTGGACCATCAAGGAAAAAACATGCGGGTTTCCGTGCCCTGGTTGCCTGAACTATGTCGTTGATAACTGTTTGCTGTTCCGGATTTGCAAGGGCCATGTTGAGGGTACTGGTCTGTTGCAATTCTCGCATGTCGTAAGCCAATTCCTCATGTATAATGCGGCTATCAGTGTCTTCTGGAAAAACAACTGTTGGTTCAGGCAGATAACATCCTGCCAAACTCTTCCCCCTCTCTTCTAGCAAACCCCCCAGGAGATGCAACGCGTAGGAGAGCCGCTCATCCACACTTGGGTTCTCCATCCATCCCTTCTGCCGAAGCATATGAACACAATCATCACTCAACGCCATCAAGTGTGTCTCCCACAGGTCCGCCGGGCTGGAGGGTTGATTTTCTACCAAAATGATCACAAACAGTCGTCGTAGCTGAAATCCAGAGGCATATGTTGAAGCTTGGGTGAGGCACTCATCAAGATCACGGTCGTCATCAAGTAGGCCAAGCGCAACACAGGCTGCTCGAAAGGTCGGATGCAGAGTATGATCAACGGTACGGAGACTTTCAAAAGATGTTGGGCAGGGAACATGATAGAGCAGAAGTCGCAGATAATAGAGCTCCCCAGATTGAGGACCGGCAAAATACACTCTCCCAATAGCTGTTCCACGTTTCCGAGGCTTCCAAGCACGTTCCTTGGCGTGCCAACAGAGTAACTCGGGTACATCTGCATATATCTTGTCACGGAGTAACTCTGAATAGGTCTCGCAAGCTTTGAAGTACCCCAATAACCGGCTGTTCCGCTGAAGTTCCTCTGGTAGATTTGCACGTTCGTCTTCAGGCACAAATTGCACTTGATCTTCGTCTGGAAGATGGAGCTGAAGTCGTTCAACGGGTGGAAAGTGTCCATGCATGGGATTACCGCTCAGTCGCCAAACCGCTGATACAATGTTAGCTCAGCAGTACAATCCTCCCTATGACTCACATTCGGATGCTGAAACCCAGCGCGCATCCACATACCGATTGATTTCATCGAGATCCACTTGATTAGGAACCACTGCCACATTTGCCCGATCATGACCCTTGTAGACATATTTGAACATATACTTCACTGCACTGATTGAAGTGCACACCTCAACATTGATATGGGCGTTGAACCGAGCTGATAAATAAGGATTATACGGAACCACATGCTGATTTGTATATGTAATGCGATTCTTGGTCCATGACCGCCCATTATCTCGTCTTCGGTAAATAGGGTAGCCATCCTGTTCCATTGTTGTCTCTGGTTGAAAAGCCCAGGGGAACTTCTTTGAACATCGGCCATCACGACGCATCTGGGCTTGGCATCGATCACTGCAGGTATGCAGCATACAGGACGTAACAACCTTGAAAAGCACAGGCTGAGTATCCTCACAGGGGAGTTCAGCACATACAATCTTGTCAACATCGGCCGGTGTGCGAGGCTTATTGTCTGGTGTAAGGCACATGAGCAGATGACAATGTGGAAGTCCCCGTTTTTGAAATTCGATCACCCAGATTCTTGCAACCACCTTCAGATCAGTAAACACTCAGCAGGAAATAATAACCAAACACACCTTTCCCAATACTCCCAGTTTGAAAAACTCGTGCAGCATAGCGTCAAGCTTGAGTGCAAAGACTCTTGAAACCAAGTCGGGGCGGTCTTGGGCGGTCTGTCCTGGTTCCAACTCTTGGGTGATCTCCGGCCAAGTGGGATTGCAGGTGATTGTTACAAATAGGTCAGGCTTTGTCACGTGTGAGACAATAGCCATGGCGTCCTGGTACAGGGCGTGCATCTGACGTGGCGAACCGGCAAATGTTGAGGGGAGCACCACTTTTTTGCCTACATCAGCCAAAGGAATCCCAGCATCAACCGCATCAACCAATCCCTTGTAAGATTCAGCTCGGAGAGTGGTTTGATTCTCTCGGATCCATCGCAGACGATTTGATTCGGTCTGGGCCCACTGATCCACCAATAGCTCCTGAAAGAGTCGCCCACAATAGAGTGCGGTGTTGAAATTGCCCGATCGTTTGAAGAGGTAATAGGTTGCAAATTGTGCTTGAGTCACTCGCTTAGATTCTCCACGCCCATAGCGTCTTACTTCAGCTACCAATCCACCATCTCCAGCATTTCCATCCTCAATATCTTCCCCCTCACCAATCTCGTCATCATCTCCCAGTGGTTGCCCAGCCAAAGGGATCCTTGGATGCCATCCCGGCTCTCCATGCGGGTATATAAGAGTGAAATGCAGGGGAAGATATGCTGAGTGCAGTTCACTAATGTTGCGAACCCCACCGCCTCGCAGATATACTTGAATGTGACGACCTGGGGACGGTTCATTTTCATTGGCAACATATACACATGCAACTTCGTCTGACGTAGGTCGGTTATATCTGCGAGGGTCATTTTGCAGAGGATTCAGAACTGTAAGATACAGAATCGGCGTGTCCTCTTCGGATTCCCTGTCACGGTCACGGAAAGTCTTGAAAGCAGCATAGTATGGGTTCACCCTTTCTATCATTTGAGCCAGGCGGGTCAGAACACCCTCTTCACCTCTCCCTCGGATGTGAATGTTTCGCTGAGCAGCCTGTTCTGCTTCAGATAGACCCGCCAGGAAGACTTGAGCAAATCGGGGATGTTCTCCAGCTTCAGGGAGTAATGCCCCAATTTGGTGGTATGCTCGTCCGCCAATACGAAAGGTGTATATCCCTTGAGGTCCCCAAACTTGCATGTCTTGCTTATCAACACCCATTGAGGTGAAAGCAAGAGAATTATTGTAATTTCGGAGCTGCTCCCGCCGCAGCTTACCTTCTGATGACAGTCAGTGTTCCATCCATTGAATTGACTAATGCCAGCTTACGATGTGTTTGATCTGTTAAGAGATCTCGAAGTTCCAGTGGAGGGTCCAATGGAAGTGGGAGTTGCACAGCCCCATTTGAGCAACAGCCAGAAAACAGGGGATTAGCCAAAGATGAGCGTTCCCCTCCCGCGGCGATGTTGATAGCACGTTCCTCAAGCCAGTGTAACGCGGCACATTTCGGACATGGCACCTCACAGCGGCCCAGCCAGTGAACAGATGTCCCATCAGTGTAGTCCTGCCGAGCACGGCAATGTGAGAGAGCATGTTCCCGGTCTTGCCTGGATTGCTGTCCAGCTTGTCTTCGAGAAAGAACGGTGTTTTCGCCCATTGGAGGTGGATCCATGTCCATGTCATCATTATGTCCAACATCTGTCAATTGTCGACTGCCCCGCTCCCTTTCACGCCGTGCTCGCTGTGCAAGCTGACGGCGGCTTAGCCCCTGTAGGCTCATGATGTAATGTAGAAAGATTTATATATGAGGTTATGTAAGAATCTAAAAGCTCAGCCCAATTCAAATAGTATGGAAGGCAACTGACGGGTATGGTGCAAAGGGGTGCACGGTGTGAACGGGGTCTTGAGAGTCGCCTCGGAGAGCCCCTTGAATGGTCGCAATAACAGTGTAAAGGTGCACGGTGTGAACGGGGATGCGAGTCGCCTCGGAGAGCCCCGTGAATGGTCGCAATAACGGTGTAAAGGTGCACGGTGTGAACGGGGATGTGAGTCGCCTCGGAGAGCCCCGTGAATGGTCGCAATAACAGTGTAAAGGTGCACGGTGTGAACGGGGATGCGAGTCGCCTCGGAGAGCCCCGTGAATGGTCACAATAACGGTGTAAAGGTGCACGGTGTGAACAGGGTTGCGAGTCGCCTCGAAGAGCCCCGTGAATTGTAGCCTAAAATGACACGGACCGGGGACGTCCAAATTCTTCTCCCCTATAGGTGGCAGAGAAGTCAGTGGAGCAGGTTACATGTGACGGAACCCCCTGAGCGCGAAAAAACGCGAGAAAACGCAAAAAAAGTCGATTTTGGCTGCGTTCACCCCCTATTTAGGGGATTTTGGGCGATCGAAAACTCGGTTCAATTACGCTTTTCCCCCACTACACACACAGGTTCCGACAGGTCAGACAGGTTCTGACAGGTCAGACAGGTTCCGACAGCTCAGGGTATGCATGAGACATCTCGCGATCCCCCTACTCGCAATCCCCCTACTCGCGATCCCCCTACTCGCAATCCCCCTACTCGCAATCCCCCTACTCGCAATCCCCCTGCTCGCCCCCCTGTTCGCGCGCACGCGACTCCCACGTGGTTTGTCTCGAAAGTTAGCCTCTCATCATCTGTTATTATAATAGATCAAAATATTATTTGCCACTCGCAAAAGACCTCATCTTGACATACTACTTACATCCGACACATCCCTCACCATCATTAGTCCTATCCACACCATCACATACACCCTTATCGTCATCTCGACCTGCCCGGATCCTTCGCAAGTCACTTAGTCGTCCGACCACATCACAAGTCTATGGACAACATACTAACCGTTGTTATCTAAGCTAAATAAACAGTTGCAGTCCACCTGTCTTTGATCCATCGAGGTCTGTCAAGGACAGGACCATGACAGATATTGAAGAATCAGCAAAGTTGGTACTTTGCTGATTGTACTATATACTGTCTACAGGTATCCTTGTCCTTGTCCTCTCCTGCTGCAAGCGTCTACGTACATACTCGGACAGGTGAAAAACCGCTTTTGAGCAAACCCAGTGGGGAAATCTCGAAAAGGGGAAAACCTGTCCCTACCTACTGCAGCACTGCCTCCAACTCCCGCTTTCCTCCATCCTGATCCATCGAACTTGATAGAGTTCTCTTGTTTTGTTGTTACCCCGTAACACACAGACTATTTTCAATGTCTGGTCCTGACATGCACTGAAGACCGGATTAGGAGGACTTTGTGCTCAGATGACTCAAGTCTTTCATGTTAGATGCCTTACAGAAGACATGCCACTTCAAAGCTGCACAAGTCATGAGAAGATGAATTTTCCCATGTGTCATGTCTTTGCTTGGTCACAGATGCCCCCATGACGCTTCATAGCCTCACGGCTATCATCCGTCACCTAACATTACGGTGATTGATGAACCAGATACGGAAACAATCAAGGAGAGTACAACTCAGAGAAACCCGTCTCTAGGTAGTCGAGATTTGGACAGCTAGTGACACACTATTGACATGCATGGCACTGTGATGTGTCCCACTCTGTCTGTACGGTTCTTTCAGCATGGCACACCAGTAGAGTTGAAGATGTGTGTCAATTGGGCAACTATGAATCTGCTGACAGAATTGGTGTAATCATGGCCAAGGGCCATCTTCAACTTCATGAAGCTTATATGGTTGTGTATTGAGAATGATTGTACCCTGTATTTTGGCACGTGCTGTCTGTGTTCCTGGGAGACGTTTGACGTCAACTCCAAGCGATGTCAGTTGAATGGGCCTCTTCCTCAACTCACTCCGTTGTATCCTGTCATTATCCAACACTTCAACCAGTCTGTTCCCAAGGTTAAGAAGTACCTGGTTCTTCGAAATCTCCGGAGTTTGCATGGTCTGATTTGGGTGGTCGGGTGTTTGCTCTATGCTTCTTTGATCGCTCCAGGTGTCGTTAAGACATCGTTCGAGTAAAGCAGTCATTTCATTGATAAGGGTGAAGTAAGCATCATAACCATTGGCGCAGTAGTTGCCATCATGATGATCTAGGGTACAATTTTGGAGCCAAGAGGGACGCGTAGGTGCACGGTAAACCGTAAAACCTTTGAAATACGTCCATTGCGCTGAGATTGGAGCGGTTTCCACCCTTTGCCGTTCTTTTGAAGCCCAACCCCCCGGGTATACTAAAGGTATCAAGCTCTCACCTCCTGAAACTCCATGGGATGTTGAGTGTGATGGTCGGGGCCTGTGTTTATGCCCATGCCCGTCAGTCCTTGAGCCAGAAACGTCCCCTGAGGGCGAGAACCCCTCGTCTGGCGCATACACTACCTGTCCTATCCTGTCGACAAAGATCTCTGCAGCCATTTTTTTGTCGAAACGGTCTACTCCAATAAACATGGTCTGCAGTCTCAGTACCTGATCACCATCTCCTCTGTCATGCAGCGTGGACTTTGGAAGTGAGGCTGTCATTCGATTTTGAATATAGCTTAACACTTGATCAGTCAAACAAGCCTCTATTTGTTTGTGAGAACGATAACAATGATTGTGATTCCCAGACTCGGCCCTCTCCCTATCGTGTTGCTTGGTGCGTTCTCCACTAAAATCTACCAGCCGTTCACTAATGGACTTTTTAACCACTGACATGAACACCCATGCAGTCCATTTCTGATCGTGTGCCCATGACTGCTTTGCATCGGTAGCCCAGGGGGGTATTCCATCTCCCTGTGGCCAAACAATTATTCTCTCCAAGGACTCCATTATAGGGTCCACACTTTCACCCGCTCTCCCCGTTCTAGAGGACGAGTGGATCTGGTGTTTGCAGAGCCTTCCCCTTCAATAGTAAGCCGGTCGAAAGGTGGAGGAGAGTCTGTAAAACGTCTCGAGGTCGATGACGGACCTAGTTGTGTAGCGGCCTGTGATGCGTCTGGACTTGTTCTCCCGGTGCTTTGTCGCCTGCCGAGACGATACGAGTAATCATCAGATCTACCTGTCTCACTTCCACTTTCACTACCAGAGTCATCATCCCCTGGGACCGGAGGCGGGCGATGGGTCGTACGGGGTACTGTTGAATTAGTTACTTGCTGCTGCCATGCTCTAATCGCGTCAGTCTGACGAGACGGCAGAAGAGACGACGATAAAGGGTGGGGTACATATGAGACATCTGAGGCAGGCCCCTGTTTTGCCCACCCGGGTGGTAGACGGCTCAATGGAGGATTTGGGTTTGACATGTCTTCTGGAAGAAAGAGTGTCTCGAATAGACGTGGGATGAGTAGGTGATTTCACCCTCTCATATAGTCGAGAACAACGTCCGCGGAGTTTCCTCGATTACGGTTACCCGGTCCCGTCCGAAGGGAAGAGGCCAAAGGCCAAGTACATGCGAAGATTTCGTTTGGTCACCATGAAAGGATATCCGCCCGAACGTATCGGGCGCGGTCGAAATGCGGATCTATCGACCCAATCTTGATCCTCGGGCATTCCTCCCGTTTCCGCGTGATTTATCAGCCGTGAGAAGTGTTCACACCCGGGGGAGAAGTAGAAGTGTGGGAAGAATTATTCAGATTTGTGAGAAGAGATTGATCGGTTGAGAGACAAAGGAAGATGAGGAGGTGGGACGAATCAGTCAAATGTGAGAGGATGCAGGCCGGAATGGTTTGAAAAGATTGGGTGGATGAGATAAAATGGAAAGTGGGGTGATGAGAAGAGTTTGAATGGTTGAGATATGGAGAAGGATAAAGAGATGGGAAGGATTGGTGTATCGAGAACTGGGAGAGGAAGAACGATGAGAACGTGGGAAGAGATCGGTTGGCTGTGTCAAGATGAAGGGAGGGATGGTGAGAAGGGATCTGGCCGATTTATAAAGGCTTGAAGGTGTGAAGGTGGGATATATCTTGATCGTTCGGTGAGACGAGATCTGTAGGCTGAAAGGATAAGAAGGAATAGATTAGAAAAGATATTGGTTGGTTGTGCGATCGCAAGAAAGGAACGTTCGAGGTAGCAGATGGGATAAGAGATCGGTCTGTTGATATCATAAAGGGGGATCTAGTCGGGTCGAAAATAACAGAGGAAAGTATTTGTTCAAGAAAAATATGATATATGCGAATAATGCGAGAGAGAAGAATAAGGGAGGATGAACGTTGGGGAAATTGTCGAGAATTTCATTCGACTGAATGTTAGCTATCAGCAAATGTATGAGTAGTCAGCCGATGAATGATGGAAGATAAACTATTAAATTTCATTAAGATTTCATACCATCCTTCAACTGATCTCTCATTCCCGCTTTCCAAACCAAAACCATTTGTACACCCTCATGATCCTCTAAATCCCTCATTGCTCTCACTACCATTTTACAAAAAGGAAGTATATGTTTATCATATTCCACCATATACCTTATCCTCCCTTGTCCTTGTTCTTCTCCCCCTTCCCGTCCTTCCGTTTCTCCCCTTCCACCTTGATGTCCATCCATACCTATGCTCTCTTCCGAAGATCCGAGAGACAGATTTCCTCCATCAGGAATGTCGTTTGATATATGTGAACGAGGTGAGGTGGAAGAAACTATTCCCACATTTTTCTCCATAATCCTGGCGATGATCTCGAATAACATTCTGACATCTTCTTTCCCCCATAAAGCCCTAGAACGTCGTTTCCACCCAACTTTCCAACCTTCCTTAGATCTGTACACTCTCCAATTTACTTTCATCCCAAACCTCGATTCGATTGAGCCCCCATGATGTCCGATCCCGACGGAGGAGACTCCGCATCGTAACCAACACCCTAGAATGAGGTTCGCAGTGACACCGTCTGGTTTGAAACCTCTATGTCGCTCGAGATTATCAACCACATAAAGTAATCCTCTCAGTTGATGTAAAGAGGGAGAAGGTCGTGGAAGTTTCTTGGAAGAGGGTTGATTGGGTGATGTGGGGTGAAGTAGATGAGAGAGATGGGTATTGTAATGAGCCGTTAAGCGGGATATTCGGGGACCGACCATTTGATCCAAGGGAAGAGGGAGAGGAATGTGTTTCCAATGTGAAGGAGGCAGAGAAGAATCAGGTTCTTCACCCTCGCGTTGTCGTTCGTCTTCTCGTTCTGGGAAATGGGGAAAGGCTCCAGGAGGGGAACAAGAATCCCCGGAGGATGAGGAAAGTGTGGAGGTGTGAAACTTGAGTCGACGAGCAAGTTTTCCAGCGCCTTGTCTTTCGAGTTGCAGAGTCGCACGGGATACGATAAGAGGAGAGGTGAAATATTCTGGGGTTGAAAGGATGAGCTGTACGGCGAGTTTGTGAAGACGTGCCTTGAGCAGCCGATGGACAGCGGGAGGTAGAAGTGAACTCGCTGTGCGTTCAGCTTGTGAGGAGGTGACGGTTGAAGATAGAAGTATATTCTTAAATATGGTATCGGAGGAGGAGAGAGAAAATGTCTGATTTGTCGTTTGTGGGTCATGAGGCGGTGGAGGAAGAATCGTCGGGGTGGGTGTGACATCGGTGAAAGAATGTGACGGAGGGGATTGTAGGGGATCAATCGAGTTGGCAGTTCTAAGGAGATGAGAAGGATGAGGTTTGACTGGTGGGGGAGAATTTCGAGAATCGGTGATTGTGGGTGGTCGAGAATTGGACGGTGTGAAGGAGGGAGAGTCTGGAGGAATAGGGGTGGTGTCAGGTTGTAGAGCAGAGACGATACGTCGTAGAGCCATCAGAGCCGTCCTAGCTTGAGGAGATAGCTCGTGTCCATCTATCTCAGCTTGCGTGTGATCACTCTTCCCTCTCGAGGTTGGACCATTGGAGCTAAGAGCGGCACTACAGACGTCGGGAGAATGCTCTTGCGGTTCATCTCTGTGAGCTTGAGGTGCGTGGTTGGGTGATTTATGAGCAGAAAGAGTGGGCAAAGGAAGAAGTCGAGAAGATCCCGGAGACCAAGGAGGTACGTAGGGTGTAGTTCTGGGACCCTCTGTCGAAGGTGGACGAAAAGAAGGGGGAGAGGTGAAGATGGACCGGAGGGATAATCGTGGTAAGATGACGAGACGAAAGATTGTGAAGCGATCGAGCGGCATTCCATCTCGTGTGATGTTTATTGTCCAAGTCTAGCTTGAAGAGGTCGTATTGGAAGCTTGCTTATTGGATCATAGTGGAGCTGGTAGGTATAGTTGTATGGCGGTGGATGAACAGGGTTGGAGGAAAGTGGGGAATAGTGCCACGTTCAGATCAGGTGAAACTCCGATAAACCCCGCGAGGTCGAAACTCCTTCCTGCCCCTCCTCCCCTCTTCTTTCTCTTTCATCTATCTACCTACAAGTCTTGAAAAATCCTTCCGAACTCATACAGGGTTCGATTGGGAGACTTGTTAATCGACTCATCCTCTTCATAGCTACAAATCACTCAGTCAGTCACAATGGGTGGATCCAAATCCGACAAGGAGCTTTACTTTGAGAAGCTCAAGGTTCTCATTGCCGAGTATCGTGGGTTTCTCTCTTTCCCTCTCAGGCTATGCTATATCATCCCACTTCATACCTTACACCCCGGACTATATAATGCGTCCACCTAAACAAACGATGATGCCCCACACCTCCCCCATATGTACCTTCACAAGGGGCGAGTAAAACTAACCTCTAGCCTCTATCTTCCTCGTCAACATCGACAATGTCTCCTCTCAACAACTTCATCTCATTCGACAAGCTCTCCGCGGCAAAGGTGTCGTCCTCATGGGTAAAAACACCATGGTCCGTCGTGCTCTTCGAGTCATCATGCCCGATTATCCTCAATTCGAACGTCTCCTCCCTCACATCAAAGGCAACATCGGTTTCGTTTTCACTTCTGGTGATCTTAAAGACGTACGAGAAATCATCATTTCCAACAAAGTCGCTGCACCCGCTCGTGCTGGTGCCCTCGCACCAAACGACGTGTACGTTCCCGCCGGTAACACTGGTATGGAACCTGGTAAAACTTCTTTCTTCCAGGCTCTCGGTATCCCCACCAAAATTGCCAGAGGTACCATCGAAATCGTCTCCGACGTTCAGGTGCTTACCGCTGGGGGCAGAGTTGGATCTTCGGAAGCTACTCTTTTGAACATGCTCAATATCTCTCCGTTCACCTATGGTATGAGCGTTGTTCAGGTCTACGACAATGGTGCCGTGTTCCCTTCGGATGTGTTGGATGTAGAGGAATCGACTCTGTTGGAGAGATTCATGACTGGTATCAAAACTGTTGCTGCTATCTCTCTCGCTACCGGCTTCCCCACGATCGCTTCGGTTACCCATTCGTTGGTCAACTCGTACAAGAACATCCTCGGGGTGTCGCTTGCGACGGAATACGAGTTTGAGGGATCTGCAAAGGTGAGTTTTGTCTCTTATGTCTCCTGTTTTCCTCCTCCTAGTATCTCGACTCCACTTCTCCCTCTTTGCACCCGACGCCGATCCCTCCCCTCGTATGATGTTACAATTCTTCGTCCACTGGAGATTTCCTAGCCTCAGGCAAGGACGACATCCATTATCCATTCTGACTACACACATCCTCTCTACAGTGACATGCGCTTGTAAAATCTGAGATGATTTGCATCCGACTCGTGCTAATCTCAGATCAAGGAGTACCTCGCCAACCCCGAGGCGTTCGCCGCCGCAGCCGCCGCCCCGGTCGCTGCTGCCGATGCTCCCGCCGCAGCTGCCGAAGCAGCCGCCCCTGCCAAAGAGGAAGAGAAGGAGGAGTCTGATGACGACATGGTGAGTCTCGTTCTGACGGCCTCTACTTATCCCCTCTCCTCAATCCCAGACACAACGATGTCAAAAATCTACTTTGCGGTGCATGCCGCTTTGCTTCGTGCAAGAGATGCGTTTTCGGGTGCATGCGTCGTGCATCATAGCTGGCAACTTAAGAGAGCACACGCTGATCTCCAGGGCTTTGGTCTGTTCGACTAGTCGATGCGTACCCTTCATGCACATTTGCGTCGCTTGAACGTGGCTAACATTGTACTGATGCATGTACTCATATCGTGTCTGACATTCCGATCCCCTCTGGTGCCCTTACAAGAAATTCCAACCTGATCCTCTTTCTTACAGATTATACGGGACATTCCGATGCGCTCTATACATCCATTTCGCTTCAAACGCCGGTCCACCGAAGCATGCCCTGGGGTTTAGTTGTCGACTCGGGTACTAACTATGACTGACGCAGCCGTCCACTTGCATCCCTGACTGGTAATGTACAGTTGACCGTCTGATTCACAAAACATGGCAGAAAAAGGTGTAAAAGACTCACGCGAGGAAAGCCAAGATGAGCCCTGCTAAACCAATCCATAACGCAGCTCCATAAGTCGCTCGAACACCCTCTGCGTCGTATCGATGTCGAGCCTGGACCCAGAGGATCAGGGCGAAGATTTCAGCCAAGAGGGAGAATATGAAGCCAAGTAACTGGGTGTGAGTCATTCGTATTCTCAGCATCACAAATATCACCCCGGTCATCAGAAGTGTACATACCGAGAAGGACGGCTAGGGGGGGATAAAAGAAAACTAACAGACATGGTACGAAAGTAAATCGGATTCCACATGAATTGTCCTACCCTCAATAAAGATAACAAAAGAGCTATCAAAGCTAGTAACATGAAGATGGCGCCTAACTATCAGCGCAGCTCGTCAAGCCCACGTTCTCGTCTTCTTAGTCTTGGTGAATCTACCAGCTGATCGTCGTAGCCAAAACCAACCGACCACGAACCCTCCCGACTGCAGGTCGGGGGATGTTGAAGACAGACGAGATGATGATTGACTCACCTACAGCATACAAAACCTGAGCTCTAGTCAACCATTCGGTCACTTCTGATCCTGTACTATACCCAACTCTTTTGATACATTCCGAAGTAGGAGGACAATAACCCAAAGCTCCGAAATGAATAGAAGGGTTAGGTGTACGTAAGAAGTATATCGATTTATTGTATGGTGTTGAAAAAGTGACCAGGGTTCTATTCAATCAGTATCTTCCTATTTCAATCTATGTCAAGCTGCAGTGAAAACCTGATGCAGTATTCTATTCGCTTTGAGCTAAAAACCACACTTTTGAATATTTTCTAAAACGGGTGAAAAAAGTGGGAGATCTATTCGGGATTGGGGACTTGGTAGAGGAAAAATATCGCGAGGGATATCAACTTTACGTGATAAATGTCGGAACAAGAGGGAAGAGTGAGAAAAATACAGGGGGTACTTACAAAAGTATGGATGATATCAAAGAGAAAGTCAATCCTAAGATTATATGACCTTCAACACAATCTTCCCATCGAAACATGTCGATCAAACTCGTTTCCAAGTCGTGTCTCACCCGTCCTTCTGCCTCTTTCGCTCGTTGGCAACCGGATCAATTTTGTCAAAGATCGACGACGGCAACTTAGGAACTGCCCGGTTTGTAGGACAAGTTGGCTATGTCAAATGGCAAGACTAGCGGAGAAGACTGCAGGAAAGATGTTCAGTCGAGTTACGAGTTAATGGAGAATCTGATGAATCCAAAGAGTTGATGTATCTTCCATCCGGATACACAAGTTGATCAGGTACACACATCCCATCAAATCCATCAAAATCCTCATCAATCACATCATTCCCGTCGCACGGATTTTTGTTCGATCGACACTTCAATCATTCCGCCGTTCAATTTTCTATGTGTTGCATAGCTTTTCATGTCTCTCTCACACTCTCAAGAATCTCACTATCCCATGATCCCACGATCCCACCACATCGGGCTTAGCTTATACTACCGAGCGTAACATTCCCCATCGGGAACACTGGGCGTCGGACATACTGAGGATAAGGAGGAAATTGTCACGATCCTTTATTCGTCGAGACGGATCGGTATATCGAATCCGTGAGAAAAGATAGCTCCCTATACTCAGGAGAATCTCACAGACACCATCTTGATTCATGATTTAAATCCCCCGGGTGAGTTGAGTAAGAGTATACTCTGATAGCTTTCACAGGATATACAAATACCTCACTTGTTACCCTTAACTTCTTCAAGAATCGAATTTGACAATTCGTCGGTAGACTCCTCGTGGTTTAATCTCCATAGCAATGTACCGCTGGATTCCTTCTCCTCCAACTTCAACATCCAGCAGTTCTGCATCTTCACATTCAGACACCTTTCGAACTGACGGCTTTGATGGCATCTCTGTCGTCAGTGATAATTCGTCTCAGGGTGGTCTCGATAACTTGTCAATCAGCTCTGTAGATTCACTACCGGGAAGTGGCATTCAAACCCCACGCCCTAATTCCCGGCGTCCGGAATTGCAATACACTCCACTTCCTATCCCGATCGTAGCTTTCAACCCGTCCATTCCTTCCCATTGCAGCAACCCCAACCATTTCTTCAGGATTGATACAGGGGTCGGTTATGGCTTTGCACCAATCACACACTTCAATGGTCCAGAGCCACCGGATGTCTACATCCTTCAGTCGCCGCCTGACGAAACGAATAGGGTGATCTCATATATGCCTACTGGCGGTCTTGCTACTACTGGTTCAGTATTGAATGACATAACTGGCGCGCTTTCAACTAGAATACGTGAACATCAAAGCGCATGGGACACTGCTCAATCACTAGAGGAACAATGTAATCCGAACTGGTCGTTTCTAGATAGGAATGACTTGATGTCTACAATTGTCTCCTTGTGCAACTTTCAACTCAACACTATGGTCCGCGGACTGCCCCCAGAACCTTTGGCCCTGGGAACTGATGACTCCTCAAGATATCTTTGGAACATCAACCATATCGTGACAGATATCAAAAGACACAGCAGCCGTTCTGGTCCATATTTCAAAGTTGTGTGCTGTTTCAATGATAGGCAAGACATGAGCTTGAAGCTTCCATTAATTGCTGATCACCAAATCACAAGCTTAGAGGAGAAGCAGCGACAGTGGTGTAGTGTGCGCAATCCCTTCAGTAAGCCCCCTCCTCACAGTAGTGAGCTTGGCAGTTTTGTGACCCTCCCCGTCACCCCTCGTAGCCGACCCGATCGCAAAGCGGGGCCACGGTATATGGCAAGTCACTCCATCTCCGGACTTGCTCCACCCCCGGTCGGAAGCCCAGGCACCACATCCAGTCGTATTCTACCATCACAACAAGCCGGCTCTTCCAGCTTGCCGGCCCCATCTATGACCATGTCTCTGGATGAAGGAATGAGGAGAGTGATAGAGCAGAAGAATTCCACGCTTCGGCGATACAAGGTACCAACATGGTTCAGTGGTGATGCTCAACAAACAATGTCCGGTACACAGCTTTCAGATTATCTCTTTTCACAGGCTCAAAAAATCATCAGAGATGAATATAAAAAGATGGATGAGTGGAGGCGGTATGAGACTCAGCTCAATCAGCAAGCGGGCCGAACAACTTATGAACATCTTCATCGAGAAGAACTTGGATATGCAATTCATCAGAGTATTCAACGGATACTCATCACATTCCTCCAACCCGGTCCTACAGGGGACCGTGGAAGTCAACTTACCTTCCCGCTGAGATCAGCCTGGGTGAACATCAAGCGGCAGGCACAGGCGCATGACCAAGGGATTTCTTCACCCCGCTTTGTACTGAAGGTGACCCTCAAGCCAGGATATACACTGGCCCGGGAGGTGGCTGATGATAGGACAAAGATGAGCACCCAGTGAGACAACTTTAACTTTTCAATGGAGCTTCCAAGTTGACCATTGAAGTGGATCTGTTAGGTGAAGGACGGAAGCCGTGCGTGACCAGCTGAAGATGTCACTCATGGAAGATTCCATATGGTTTTAACTACACCTCTCCCAAACCCAAACCTCATGCATGACTAGTTTTCTTAAGACTTACTGCATAAAGTTCACTAAAAAGAATGGGCCAGAGATCTGTATTCTACATTTCATTCAACCTCTTGGCAAGGACTATTGGTCATGTTGCTCACCACATGCATGATAAAATCTGCATGCAGAACTGCTCTTGTACTTTCTTGCAGCCTACAACTCCTCCTAGAGAATCGAGTAGTCGTCCAGATTGGTGGTTATTGGTGAGGAATGATTCTTTAGTGGGTCATGGTTATGGATCCATGACACTTTGGAGTCTCATGACCTCAACCCATGACATTTTGAAGCTGTTGAGGACACGGCCGGAGACGTGCACCTCCGGAGCTGCATGGTTCAAACCCCCCCTCTTGGACCTGGCCAGAGAACCATGCAGCTCCAGAGGGGTCCAGACACGGCCAGAGCATTTTCGCTCTTATCATCCCCAAGCTCTCCACATACATGAATCACAGTACAGATATCCTGTGGTACCATCTCCTGGACTCTTGAAGTCATGGTGGTCTGGCCCCACAACTTGAAATCTACAAACACTGCAACAATTACCTATGATACATCACCATTGGAATCCCCCCTGGTTCAAGATATTGGCTGACCTTCTTGCCAAATACAGCATGTGATGTTGAACAGCACTGTAGTGGTTACCTCTTAGACTTGTCTTAATAGAGCATCTGCCCTTTGGAGCTACCAACACTGTCTTGTATGGCGTGGAGGATCTGTTATTGATGTTTCTCTGAATGGGAATGGCTAAAGGGAGTGTTCCGCTCTGGAGTGGTACATCTCTGGCCGGGAACGATCAGGTCCGTGCAGCTCCGGAGGTGCATGTCTCCGGCTGTGTCCCTAACAAAGCCGCACGGATCTTCAGCCAGTCACACTAACCCCCGTGACGCTTTGAAGTGTCACGGCTTCCGTCCGTCATCTAACAGATCCTTGTGTATGATGAAGTGCATTCCAGCAGTACCACAACTAAATGACCATCGATCTAAACTCATCGTTCTAACTGAATCCATCACGCCCACCACACGGATTGATTGTGGTCCTTCCTTCAGTCCATCTTCTCATTGTCATATCTGGCACAGCTTTTCATGTTTCTCGCATTTCCACATTCTCACAGTCTCACATTCTCCAGAACTCGGGCATGGCCAACACTGCCTCACCTTACTTTCCCCATCGGGACGATTGGATGTCCGAGCGACTGAGAATACGACCACGGAGGTGAGAGGAAGGGAAGGAGAGAACCATCCTTTTTTCATCGTATGACATTGAGAGGACTGTGAAATTCCACGTCAGACTGATAGATTACGTTCCGTCACTCCCTATACCTCTAGCCATCTCTTCTGGTTACTCTTTGTTGCTTTTATCATAGCTAAGAGTAACCAGGTGAGTTCTTACTCATCCATCGCTTTAATCACAGCTAAGAGTAACCAGATTTATGCGCACGGCTATCTAGCGATCATCCTTGACAGATTTGGAATCAGATCGATCTCCCAACACATCCCTTCCTGTCCAAAACCTATCTATCCCATTTTGTTTCAATGTCAAGCTCAGACTCTGAAGGAGAGAAGACTCTCTCTCGTCGTCAAACCATTTTGAAAGGGGCAGATAACTTCAAGGAATGGGAACATTCAATCCTTGCTCAATTAATTCAGAAAGATCTGGACGATGTCATCCAGTCCGACGCACAGACTCCTGTTGTGCTGGAAGAGAGGAAAGCATGGGAAAAAGAAGATAGGAAAGCATGGGCAGCCATTGACGAATCTATCGACTCATCAATCCATAACGTTCTCCCTCCTCACCTCCTTGATATTACTTCTTCCTCCGCTTCCTCTCCATCAGGCCTGAAGGCCAAATCCCTCTATGACCATCTTCGACTCAACTACCCTGCCGCTCGTTCCACCCGCAAAGCAGAACTATATCGTATCATCTGGCATACCGACATTGAAGAAGCCAATCCAATCACTTCTATCTCGGCAATGCGACGAGCTTATAACGACCTCACTGCTTCCTCGGTATCCATGGCAGATTCCCAACACATGCTTGGGGATCCTTCGTCCTCCGAGGTTATCTCAGCAATCAACGATGAGTTTAGAAGGAGACAGACACAGGAGACAAGTACGCTGGCTCTGGCAGCTAAGCTACCCAAGTCTTCAACTCAAGCAAAGTGGAATAGACAGAGATAAAAGAGTGTGAAGGGACCGGTCATCAAGGATGGAAGTAAGCCATTTTGCAAAATTCATGATACCAACTCCCATTCCACAACCGACTGTCGAGTTGCCCAACGTATTTCCGCCAACATCACATCTTCCAAGCCTATTCAATCACCTGAACCATTCTCCTTTGTCGCTGTTGCTTCTCCCATTGCTCTACATACATCCACTCCGCTGTCAAGCATCGTCATAGATTCAGGGGCCTCACATTCCATGGTTCACGATGAATCCCTTCTCTCTTCGATCCATGAACTTCCCTTGCCTATCCCTGTGTTTGTGGGTAATGGATCATCAATTGAGGCAACCAAGCAAGGTATTCTTACGCTTGGAAACAGATTCAAGGTATTTGAGACACTATTGGTCCCAAAGATCAGTCAAAATCTTCTTTCAGTCCTAGGAACTTCATCTGCCAATACTGTTTGGACTTTTTCCGACACCAAAGCAACTTCGACCGATAACGGGAAGCTCATTCTAAAGGCAATACTTCACAAGAATCTCTATACACTTCCCTGTACGCCTGTCACGAATATATGACTGATGATGATGAAGCCGCAATGGCGTGTCTCAAACAGTCTTAAAGGCAACAGTAAGTTAGAGTAGAGAGTTGAAATCGAAGATGACAATTGATCAGAGAGACAGAGAAACAAACAGAGAGCTAGAACCACTATTTATAGACAAATCCTCCAAACTAAGCCTAAAACTCCTTCCTCTCCTCTCCTACTTCCTGGGGGGAAACCCTGAGGAAACCCTGTATCAAAAACAGCATTTTAAACGACCTTACAGAAGGCTCTGAATCATCCTGGAAGCCCCCAAAAGAGATCTCTTCATCAAAGGTTGAATTCATGAAAAGAAACACAAATAAAGGATCCATGAAATGTGATCCTTTAATACCTGAAACTCTCCTATGCTACCTGGATGAGCTCTGATCTTTCAGGGGGTTCAGAGGGTGTTTCTTAGGCACCCACATTATGCAGATTTTGACTCAAAAATACCTGGTTCAGTCCTGCGGGTTCGGTAGAGGTTCGAGAGGTTCAAATAGAGGCTAAATATGCTTAGTAGAGTGGTTTTCCTTCTGGTTCTCTCAGTTGAGTCGTTCGCACTGTTGAAAGAGATGAAACCTCTGACCATCAGTGCGTACTCCTCATCACTAGTGTGTACTCTTCATCAGTGGCGTACACTTCTCCATCAGTAGCGGGTGTGTATTGATCAGTAGCGTGTTTTCCATGTTCAAACACGTGTTTTCACAAGGCTATCCTGATGACCGGTTGACTGGTTGATTCTGTGGTTGACCCGGTGGTTGATCCGGTGATTGATCCTGTGATTGATCCTGTGATTGATCCGGCGAACCAGTTATTTGGTAATCGAGGGGGTCATACTACCGTTGACGGACGTACATACTCTTCTATGACGTCAGTGGCGTGATCACTAATTAAGGTACCCGCAATTGATCGCTAATCAAGGTACCCGTGATTGATCACTAATTGAGGTACCCGTAATTGATGGCTAATTAAGGCACTAATCAGTAATTAAGGAATTGATGGCTAAATATCGATCATTGATGATTCTGTTGTTCGTTGATTGGGACAGGTTCATATACAGAAATAGATGCCGACCGGCCATCCGGCTAATATTGCTCCCGAGGTACCCTCACGTATCAGTTCGTCCGGTCTGAGCGGAACCGAGGGCTCGGAACCTGGTACATGTCGGCCGGAGCTTGAGATGACAACAGATGACGATAGATGACGATAGATGATGACAGATGACGAGATTGATGTATATGTTAGGGACACAGCCGGAGACGGACAGCTCCGGAGTTGCACGGGTGGCATCATTCCCAGCTGGAGATGTACCACTCCGGAGGGGAACACCAGGGTCAACCGTGCACCTTGGGAGAAATATCATATCCCATCCAACATCTCAAATCCCCAACGACCTGGATCTTCATGGTGTATCATAACTACACAATCCTCACACTACGGAGGCCTCTACGGTTTTCCTCGATATACTACTTACACTCTAGTTATAAATTCCTGGAAATTTTAGGAGGAACTTAGAATTGAATTGGTCTGATACACGTAGCTTCATACATAGTCGTTGTGCATGAGTTCCGTTTTATATGTCATCATCCCATCATCAGCAGAGGATGTTTGACCCATATTTTGTGTGATAATCTGGATTCTAGTCATGTAGTAAGCAGACTTCACTAGACTCCATTGGTCTCCCAGGGTGCACGGTTAAATCAGTCATGCAGCTCCAGAGCTGAACGTTCTCCCGCTGGGTCCAAAGGGGGTATTTTGAACCGTGCACCTCCGGAGGTGAACGTCTTCGGCTGTGTCCCTAACATATACAATGTTGAGTCAGGTTGACTCAGTGATGGGAGGGTGATTAAGGTTGAATGGTGATCCACATGTCGTACGATAGAACAAGTTGAGACGATTTGAGTAAAGTTGACTGGACTTGAGTGGATGATATGCACGTGGTATTTACAGATATTCGAGGGTTATGACAACGCCTCTTCTCTCTCTGCACACCACAGTATCTGACAAAACCCAGAACCTCCTTCAAGAGTGGCATAGACGCCTCGGACATCTTGGCATCCAAGCCGTTATCAAGTTAGGTCAAACCGGACGCCTCGGAAAGGTAGAACAATGGAAGGATATGAGAAGTAGTGATTTCTCCTGCTCCGCATGCATTCAGGGTAAAGGAAAGACCTTGCCCTCTCCACCTTCTACTATTCGGGCAAAAGAAGTGCTGGGTGCACTACATCTTGATCTATTTGGTCCTACACGATCCACGTCTCATGATGGATTCCGAACCTTCCTCACCATTTACAATGACTTCTCTCAACACCTTCAAATTGTGTTCCTTCGTTCAAAAGACAGCACTCTATCTGCTGTCCGTCACTATGTAGATCTTGTTGAGAATCAGTTGGGGAAACGAGTGAAAGCGTTCCGGAAAGATCAGGGTGGTGAATTCAAAGCAGCAGCTTTCCACTCTTACACACAATCAAAAGGAATCAATCATTAATTTGTTCCGGCAGGAGCACATGCCAAAAATGGACGAGTTGAACGGGCCCACCTCTCAATCCTGGACTTGGTACGAACTCTTTTGGTGGATAGTGGCGTTGAAAGTCAATTGTGGTCAGAGGCTGCTCCCTATGCCGTCTACATCTGAAATCGTTGTCCAAGATCTGATGCAACTATTCCTGAAGTTTTATGGAGTTCTCAGGAAGTAGATTACAACCAACTTCAACCCTTCGCTGCTCCCCTCTTCTACCGAGCTCATGCTGAACGTGACAAACTTAAGCCTCGGTATCTTCCAGGTCTTCTCATGGGTTATGAAACCAATACAAGCAATTATCGAGTCTGGGATATCTCAAAGCACACTATCATCATAACTCAAGATCTAAGATTCCCCAAACCGTCACACATTGGTCCCCTTGCGCCCACATTGTCTTCAGTCTCTCCACCATCGTCTCCCATATATATCGCTACACCAATTTCTACTAACACTCCCTCAACTGAACAAAACAAAAACAGTCCACGAGGTATCACAGATGAAGAGAATGGGGCGGATGAAGTAGTGAGGGATAGGGGGAGTTATCAAAATGAACAAAACTGGCGAGGTTGGGCAATTGGACAAGATCCTCGCTTTGACCGCTCTCCTGCACCATCTCCCCCATTACCTGTTTCTTCTAGCCAAATAGAAAACACTGGGCCTCGACGCTCACAAAGACAAGCTGGTCATGACGCTGAACACATCCCTTGGAGTCTTGAGGAATCACTTGCACTTCCGTCAAATGCTGATCTTGACTCAATCACCGTGTCAAGGATACTGCCCACCCTGGGACAGAGGACAAAGGACATGGGGACATGGACTAGGAGTGACAAGGAATATACTTAAGATAACAAGACTGAGTCCAACAAGGAATGGGACTGTGACCCAAGGGATGTCTCTGGCTTGTCTGACAAGACTAGAGGGAACTGGACTGGACTGGACTGGAATGGAATGGATTGGACTCCAAAAGGGTGGCAATGGAAATGACTTTTGATCAAGAACTAAAGAAGACTACAAAATTCAAGATAGGGTTTATATAGACAAATCAGCCTTTTCCAAGAGGCTCGTGCAGACCTGCGGAATACGAGCGCTCTGAACCGTCCTGCACTGTCCTGCATGCATTGCCTTGCATCCCACCGATAACCACTGATATCCTACGATGCCATATCTGTGTTTACCTACGTCCTACTATGACATCCTACGGGATGCGCCGGAAGTCGCTCGACTTTGTCGAAGGTGGTCGATGAGTAACTATGCAGAACATAGAAGTGCTGCGAGAACCGAAGACTGAGAGATTATGCCTTAGCAGGCATTAGAACAGAGGAACTAGAGACTAGAGAATTACTGGGGACTTATGTCTTGCAGGCATGGGAGCTAAGCACCGACATACTAGAATGATACTTGGAGTTTATGCCTGATAGGCATGAGAGCAGACGTGAAATATCAAAGCACAAAAGTGGAGGTTGAACTTGTTTTGCGCAACAAGGAACACGTGATGGTGTGATTCATGACACACTGCATCAGCTTTCTCCTCCATCCTTGCTCCACAGTCTTATTCTCAAGCTCAGCAATCACTCGACTGGCACCAATGGAAAGAAGCAATGGATGATGAACTGAGGAAGATGAGAAAGTATGGGGTATGGAAGGAGGTCAATCCGTCAGAAGCGCAAGGCCGCATTCTCAAAGCCCAATGGGTGTATACCTGCAACATCGATGGAGATACAGGTTTACCCGCTGGATACAAGGCTCGGTGGGTTGCCAAAGGGTATGCACAACAGCCAGGGACCAATTATAATGAGCTATACGCTGGAGTGGTACATAAAGACTCAGTCCAATCGTTTCTTGCCGTAGTCAACTACCTGGATCTCGAGTGTGACCCAGTAGATATCGTGGCAGCTTTTCTCAATGGGGATCTTGAAAAGACAATATATCTCGAACCTCCTGAAGGTAGTAGCGTACCACCAGGTCAGATAATCAGACTACTGAAGTCATTGTATGGACTGAAGCAATCTCCACGTTGCTTCAACCAAAAACTTGACAAGTGGTTACACTCCCAGGGGTTTCTGTCCTCATCTGCAGACTCCTGCATTTATATATGACAAAAAGACAACTCGCTACTCATGATTTCACTTCATGTCGATGATCAGCTCGTTGCTGGATCCTCTCAATTCGAGGTGAACAGGTTCAAACATGAACTCAACTCCAAATTTGAAATCAAGGACAATGGACCGGTTTCTTACTTCCTGGGAATCAATATCTATCGTGATCAAAAAGCTAAGAAGCTGTTCTTGTCGCAAGAACATTATGTGAATGCTTTGCTGGACCGATTTGGCATGGCAGATTGTAATCCTGCTCAAAGTCCATTTCCATCCGGTTATCAATCCATTGAAGCAACCGACAACGAATTTAAAGAAGCAAGCAGTCAGCCTTATCCCGCAATGGTGGGATCCTTGTTATATGCGGCAACCATTTCCCGACCGGACATTGCTTCTGCAACTTCCATACTGGCTTGAAAGACCAGCAAATGGAGTCCTCAGCATGTCGCAGCTGCTCGACATGTTATGCGATATCTCCGCGGAACCACAACCAACTGTCTTACATATGATCGAGTTGAAGGGAAGCCACATATTCAAGGATATGCGGACGCAGACTGGGGCGGATGTCTCAACACTCGCAGGTCAACAACAGGATATATCTTTCTTGCATATGGTGGACCCGTTGCTTGCAAATCTCACCGACAAACGACAACAGCACTCTCAACCGCTGAAGCCGAATACATGGCATCCTCTGATGCAGCTCGACAGGCCATTTGGCTTCGACAGCTAGCTAAAGATCTTGGCTACATTCATTCATCTGGAATTACTATCCTAAACGACAATCAAGCAGCTATCCTGCTCTCCAAGAATCCCGTTCTACATGATAGATCCAAACACATTGACATCCACTGTCATTTCATTCGCGACAAAGTGGAGAACGGAGATATCATACTTGCGCATATACCAACAGAGGAGAACCTCGACGATATTTTGACTAAATCTCTATCCAACGAACGACATGGCATGTTATCTAAGCAGAGTGAACTGCATGGATGATGAAGTTGAGAGAGTCAGACAATGAAGAACCCCATCGAGGTATGTGTTGCCTCAGGCAAGTCGGTGTGCAAACTTGTCAGGACCAGACGTTGGAAATAGTCTGCGTTTATGAGCTATGGCTATAGGGCCTCGCATTGAACAGACCTAGTGATGTAGTTTATAGTCTAGTGATGAAGTGGATTGAAGAGATTATAAGTCAATGAGATCAAGTGGGAAACGTTTTGCTCAATGACGAGAAAATACATTCAACAAGACATCAATGAAAAAGGGCTGTTTCTATATACTAAAAAGGGAGCGGAGTGATACCATAATCTACGGAGTAAAGATGGGAGGTAATATGGGGTGGAATAGCAGAGGAAGACGGAGATAGATGAGGGACACGGAGATGAAGGAAAAGTATTGCAAGGCGAGGAAATAGCGATAAGGTAGGAAAGGAGAACAGACGATGCCGTAGCGGAATTAGTGAAGCGGAGACGAGAACGGGTAGGTGGAGTACAACTTCGGCGTACAACTCTTGAGGAACCTGTCTATAGGTACCTGTGATCCTGAAAAAACTGCAGTTTCCACGCAGATCAGTAATGTGGTCTATACAATGCTTGACCAAACCAAACCTCCTCCTCACGTTTCCAATGGACGCGGTGGATGGGATATCTCACACTGGAAATTTGGAATGCGATTTTGTGAGATCGATGGGTCAGCACTAGATGCGGGCCCAATTTCTGAGTGCAAGATCGACTTGAATCATGACTATGGGGATAAGGAAATTGAGAACCGCTTGAGACATAATAAACCTGTGAATGTTCACACCATGACCTTCAAGATTGCCTATGAAGTGCCAGCAGCTTCTCCATATCAGTAGACAGAGTATTGAACTCAAAGATTGTAAACCACAACCATGTGGGCAGACTTTCATATATGATGTATCTGTTATGTGACCTGCAAAAGCTGTGACACTTCAAAGTATCACAGGGGTTAGTGTGACCAATCAAAGATCTGTGCCACTTTGTGACCTTCTCCTGTGACACTTTGAAGGGTCATAGGCTCCTCACCAACAAGCATTGATTCAAACAATAACACCCTTTTGTAACAGAATGTCAGAAGCTGTGTGAGGGTATGTTACTGACATGACCACGTGCGTTGAATTTGCTAGTTCGGGGAATATCTAGTCACCTCCATTACCCGCCTGTCAAGAACTATGTCGTGACACCCCAATTAGCCCACCAGCAACAACCCTCCGTTGACCATCAAACCCCTATCACACCTCAACCTCACTCTACACGTAACTGAGGACATCTGAGACCAACTATGGTGAAGTACAGCGTGACAATAAGGTGTACGGGCATCTGGAGCATAGTGTTACGGGGTAACAACGAATCGAGACAACTCTAATGAGTTCGACGGATTAGGATGGAGGAAAGCGGGAGTTGGAGGCAGTGCTGCATTAGGTAGGGACGGGTTTTCCCTTTTTGAGATTTCCCCACTGGGTTTGCTCAAAAGTGGTTTTTCACCTGTCCGAGTATGTACATAGACGCTTGCAGTAGGACAGGAGTAAGACACGGATACCTGTAGACAGTATATAGCACAATCAGCAAAGTACCAACTTTGCTGATTCTTCAATATCATTCTTTGGCTACATCAATTGCAGAGGAGACACGATCCATCACATAGCACCAGAGACACATAGATTTCTACGAGACTTCCATCGAGTTCGACCCAACCTGCGACCTAGTCATCGTGTTTCCAGTACCGTTACACATAGGGACGGCAAAGTGCGGCGAAGGTAGGCGGAGTTAGGTGGACTAGGGACAACGGGAGCTGTCACGACCTTGCAACCTCAGTCATGACATCGGGTTATAACCAGATCACAATCATAGGGCTGATTGTGATATTGTGCCTTTGAGCGCAGTGGCTTACAATGTCACATGCATGGCCAATGTATGGCCTGGTGCTGGTTAGCCAGGTCGTAACAGGAACAGAAGTACGGCGAAGTTAGACAGAGTTAGGTGTATTAAGGACAATGGGAGCAGAAGTGCGGCAATGTTAGGCGGAGTTAGTCAAAGGGGGAAAAGGATCGCCGGGGACTCGGGGAAGTTGGACAAAGTGCGTTGAAGTATGTCTAAGCGCGAGAGGGTTGGATGAACATCTAGGAGGAGTGGATAGTATTAGCTGAGAAGATCGCTGGGGTTCTTCAGCGATCCTTGATTGTTGTCAGTAGTGAAAGATTGATAGAGATAGCTACATTCAAATCGAGATACATCGCCATCAGTGAAAACCCTAGTTTGAGTAACTATGTTGAAGTACGCCATAGTTACACTCCTTTCGACGTCTGCGCCCTTCTGTTTGGGTGAGACATTGACTCTGAAGTGTCAAGTTAGCCGAATTTTGTCGACCATCGGTCCGTTAGAGAGAGGTTATTCGATGGCCGTGACACCGCCACCGTTAAACACTACCAGCCACCCTTATCTACATTAGACTCTCATTCCTTGTACAGTCGCTGTCAAAAGTTTCCGTACACCGATCATCGGAGACACCTCAACCACCCGGTTTCGTCCTCGACCCCTGTCACATCCCCCGTTCCTATGACCCCTATGCTACGTGCTGATGCATGCATTGCTGAATAATGATAGTCATGACCGAGGTGGAGGTGTATGCAAGATTTGGAAGCATGAAAGTGCATAAGAAGGGTACTAGAGGGTTTCCTCTCCACCCATCTTCCTCACCATGGTCACTATCCCTCGAACCCCTTCCAAACGTGGTACTGTCATTGGTTTTCACAAAGCTGGCCTCACACTTGGTCAGATTGCTCGCAAGCTAGGCTGGCCTCGATCTACCGTCCAATATACAGTCGAAAGATACAAACAATACGACACTGCCTACGATCGCCCACGCCCAGGACGCCCTTCCAAGATGGAAAGAACTACTCGTCGAATTATCCGTGATATCACCCATCATCCCCAAGTTCCCTTCGGCTCTATTGCCTCCACATACAACCTCAGTGAACCCACCATCCGCCGCATTGCAGCCAGACATGGTCTCCACCGCCGAGTCATGCGCCGTACCCCTTTCTTACGCCCACAAGCAATCAAAAAGCGGATCAATTGGGCAAAGGATAATGTAGGACAGGATTGGAGCCGAGTTATCTTCACAGATGAGATGTCTTTGGAGTTGGGACTTGCAAGGCGTGCTTATACAACTCGAGGAGGTGGACAGGCGTTTGATTTGAAACATCTTCAACCAACATTTCGATCTGGGAGGAAGTCTATCATGGTAGGGGGTGCTATGGCACATAATCATAAATTCCCTCTCATTCTTCTTCCTCCTGGAGGACTCAATGCCGCTCGCTATTCCGAGATTGTCTTACCAAAGCTGAAGGAGTATGAAGAGATATTGTCTGCAGAGATTGACCGAATGGTGAGTTCATGACAAGAGACAAGACAAAATTCCGCTGATTCTCTCCAGGTCCTAGTAGTTGAAGACAACGCTCCATGCCACAAAGCAAAACACAGTCAGCAAAAGCGTGATACACTTGGTCTCCATTCACTTATCCACCCTCCCTCATCTCCGGATGTTAATCCTATCGAGAATCTCTGGTCAATGGTGAAGTACAAGGTTAGCAAGCGCCTTCCAAGAGCGACAAACGTGGAGCAGTTGTTTGAACATTGTGTGGCGGAGTGGGAAGCTATAGACATGGATATTGTCAACAAGGTGGTGGCTAGCATGCCAAGGAGGGTTGAGGCTGTCAAGCATGCTAAGGGGTACGCTATCAAGTACTAAGATGGGCTGTAGACATGATTGAACTAGCCAAAATGCATCTAAATGTCTATAGAAGAAGTGGTGAGTAACCGATGATCGATGCGCGCGGATTGTACGGAGACTTTTGACAGCGACTGTACATAAAGTAGTGCATAGCTTAGATCAACTTTGACAAATGTATCTTGTCTGTCTCAACATACAAGTTCTCATATACATTTGCCAAACTTGACATTTACTCCTTGAACTACTTGCTTCAATCCTCATATCATCTCGCAACTACTTCAAGTCCCTACAAGTAGCTTTATTGCCATCGACGCAGATCCTTTGACTTTCAGTTTGGGCTTGACAAAGGCCTTGTCTCCGGAGGATATGAAGCCGTCATGATAGACACCCCTCACTCACCCCTCTCCAAAGTCTTGGATAGAAAGCAACATCCTACGACGGGCCAAAGAATGAGACACATGGAACACTCACTTCCTTGACATGTGTTGGTATTGTCGACTCCACGTTCGACGTCTTTACGTCTCCACGTTCTAAGTTTCTCTCACCTTCTCATCTTCTCACCTTCTCACCTTCTCACCTTCTCACTTTCCCACCTTCCCACCTTCCCACCTTCCCACCTTCCCACCTTCCCACCTTCCCACCTTCCCACCTTCCCACCTTCCCACCTTCCCACCTTCCCACCTTCCCACCTTCCCACCTTCCCACCCTCCCATCGGGCTCCAGAGTCCCTGGCAATGAATTTTGATAATCCGGGCCGTGCCGACCATGTCATTCGGTTTGATAATAGAGTATAGAACCTTTGAATAATGTATCTGCTGACTACGTTCACGGTCTCCATGGCTATGCTCCCGTCAACCCTGAACGCCTAAACCCGTCTGTGGCAGTCATATGCATTGACAGAAGGAGAGTGCTACCCCATTTTACTAGTGCTCACGGCGACTATCAAGCTCACTATCATATAATGACACAATTTGTGTCATTTTTCAGAAACGTGGAAGCGATCATCGCCTTGAGATTGTGAGAAGGAAGCAGCGCCTCAAGCTCGTGGGAAGAAATCATCGTCTTGTGATCGCGGGAAGGATCATCGCCTCGAAAGCGTGGGAAGAATCATCGAATCTTTTGTTCGAGAGTTTGTGGGCAACTCGGGTCTTCTTATACTTGGAGGATATAAGAGCCATTTGTGATCAATGATATCCTCACTTACACATCGCTACTTCGGTTGAATATGTCATACCCATACCCTCATAGTAGTGGAGTAAACCGCGTCCGCAGCAACCAGGGTAAACTGTATTATGTTACCGCAACTACTAGAAACAGCACCGAACATCTTTCCATCATGCCATTCACCGTTTACCCTTCTGTTGCTGTTGCAAGCGTTTATCCGCCACGAAACACAGAATTCACCCTATGTCAAGATCGGACTTTCCACAACGCTAACAACCCCACAACTCCATCTTTGGTCAGCACATCTACCTCTTACCGGGATCCATCACTCCAAGTTCCAGCATGGCTTAACATTGTTGCCGGCAAAATGCCTGACACTGTAGTCAATGGAACGTTTCACCCTGGACCTATCATTTATGGGGGTGACGTGGCCAAATTCCTATATGCACAGGCATCACTTTCAATTCTAACTCAGGTAGAGTCATGGGGCAAGCAAAGGATTGAGGAGCTGTCACGAGGTATCATTGAGCATCATCTGGATCTGACACTTCTCAGACTCCAAGTTCATGATGGGATAGACACAGCTTTGGGTGCGATCTTCAAAGAGAGTCCAGGCAGCCACGGAAGCCTGTGGGGTACGACTGCCTCCGGACACGCGTGCTGGCAGTTTGAAACAGCCTCCACTAATGTCCTAAGGAGAAGAGAATTCAATACACAAGGACATGTGACTGATGCTTTCTTTGAGGTAGTATGTTCACTCAATTGGACAACTCCACTTGAACTGGGCTCAATCAATGACATCATAAGGGACACGCCAAGCCACAATGCAGTTCATGAAATTTCTCCACAATATCCTGCAGTCCCAGGGACAGCACTCTTTCCACGCCTTCATACACCCTCTAATGGTGGGAGGAGGAGGAGCACTGGCTCCTCCCGGGCTAATCCACAGACCGCTGTTGCTCCTGACGAGGGTTTAAGAGGACGTGCCAGGTCCAACTCTGGACCGGATAGTTCCCGCTCACGACAGTCGTCGGCTTACAGAACCCGGCCTTCAGAGTTGCCCGTTTTCGAATATCATTCACCTTACAATGGATTCCAGCGGTTCATGGTTACTACAAGAACCGAAGATCCGTGGGTGGTAAGATATGGTAACAGTAGGAGCAATCCGCTCAGTTCGATAATCGTGCGCGGGGGGACCAAACCCTTCCCAGGTCACTCCATGTCCTATGACTTCAATGGCGAGGTCTTGTTAAAAGTTGTAACACAGCTTTTCGTTGCTTCCATTGAAGCACAGAGGAAACATCACCTTTCGTTTACCCGACCTGAAGATAGTAACCGCATTCAAAGGTTGAATTCCGTTTACCGGACTGACCGCGACATGATCAAATGGATCGATACTAACGCATCTGTAATGCTGACATTTTTCTTCACCAATATGAAACCCATGCACCCATGGTCTCAGACCGACAAGTACGGAATAATGGACTGGGAGATTCGCAAGGCATCATGTTTCTTAGAGGTGAAAGAAATTAATGAGTATAGGCAACCTATCGTCCCGCAGTATAGCTTACATCTCCGTCTCAATGACAGGTCCATCATTATCACAAGATAAGAAACCAGGACACACAATTGGGTGGTACTTGACATGAAAGATGGCAGAGAACACATTGTGATTCAGTCTGATATACTCATCAGTACAGTTTTGTAGACAGTGGCATGTAAAAATGAATGTTAGTATTTGTTATTATCTTGATCAAATCTAACAGTAATGGTTGGGTCCTGTTTTAAACAAATGTAGGCTGATTGATCACTGAAAGGCTCCTTGGTCTTATTGAGTCTTTGAAAGGCTGGTAGTAGATGATACGCTTTCAATTATCTGAATTGACATATTTCACGGATACATCAACTACATTGAGTGCCACGGCACTCCACCATATCAACATTGTCCCATCATTTTCATCAACCCCATGTGGTCACATGTCTGATACGATGGCTTACCCTACTGAACCGTGAATCAAACTGAGCCTCCACATGAGAAAATAAAAGAGAATCATTATTTCTACTTTGATTGTTTATTTGCAATGAAGGTTGTCTTTGAAGAAGAGGAAGGTTGTCTTCTTCCTTCACCTCCAATTGACTTCAACACTTTTGCCTGACTTCTGAATCCTGCTTACTTCCTTTGACTTCGCCTCCTCGTAGTAGTTGTGATTGTCCTGTGCATAGTACAACATGGTGCGGAGTATTGTTTCATCTTGCAAACATCATCACATCCAACAAAACAACTCAGCCTGGTCAAGAGATGACATCCGCAGCCTGAGACTCTTCTTGTCATGATCTTACAGCAAGTTGTTGATCATGAAGTGTCCTGTAAAACGGTCGATATCAACTCCCCTAGTGGAAGCACATCATGTTATACTTGCAAGTACTGACTGGGACACTGTCATGAACATGACTGCCACCTTGGTTTCAGGCGATCAAGGATCATGGAGTGATGGTCAAGGATATCCTGAGCATAGTCAGCAGATACATCATTCAAAGCTATCAGTTACTTCTTTGAAGAATGTATCTTCTTCTGTCTGAGCTACAAAGATTGTCTAACCCAGTCAGTAGCAAGGTCTTGTCTCTGAAGGCTCTAGAGTCGTTTCGATTGACACCTCTCACTCTCTCCCCTCTCTGAAGTTTCAGAGAGAAAGCAACATCCTACGACGGGCCGAAGAATGATACACGCACGGAACACTCACTTTCTCGACACCTGTTGGTATTGTCGACTCCACTTTCGACGTCTCCACGTCCCCACTTCCCCACCTTCTCACCTTCCCACCTCCCCATCGGGCTCAAGGGTCTCCGGCGATACAAATAGACAACCGGGGCTGTGTTTCTTCCTGACCTCTATCACGCACCCTTGTTCCACACATATTGGTCCGACTCTCTCCGTTTCCCCCACTGCCTTTCTCCTTAGTCTTTCTAGAGGACTAAAACTTTCAACTCGGATAGTGTTATAACCCCGAGTTTTTCTCACACTACCCTGAGAGGTAGACACATACATAAATACATGGCTTTCCCTACCCCTTTTCTCCATTTCCTAAATTCACCCGCATACGTCTTTTTCCACTTTGTCTCAATATCAGCACCCAAGATTTGCAATAATGAACCCTCCACCCTATACACAAGATGCAAACAATCACAGTGGCTCTTACGGGGGTCGCTCCACCCCTCACCCTCGTCCCCGTGGCCTCCCTGGACCTCTTCTGTTCAGGGGAGCTGCCCCCGCCGCTGTCCAGTCTGTTGTCCCACCTGCTACACTGGTAGCAACTTCGATAATTGGAGGAGATCCTTTTATGGTTCCAGATCATTATCATACGTCCAATAGATCTGATACTCACCACTATGGGCCAAACACATTTACGGCAATACAGGAAGGTCCCTGGCACCATGCACCAACTGGACCGACCAACAATTCCTTCCACCCAATACCAGCTGGTCACATGGAGGGATGGAACAGGGTAGGAGAAAATGCAATGTTGATGGGAAGTCATGTACCAAGCTCTATTCCATTTGGATCGGTGCCCTCATCACAGAGGCGTCAAGCTCCGACGCTGTCAAGCTCCCACCAAAATTTTGCTCCATCTGGAGTGATTTTGCAAAATCCACAACCTCACTCAGGAAGTTCAAGCACTCAGCGTTTCTATCCCTCTCTTCACCATGGTGTCAGCCAGCTCTTGGCCCGACGTCCAACCACTCACACTGGTCAGCCTGTGTTCAGCGCTCAAGATTTATCAAACTTCACGATTGATCAGCTTTCCAATTTCATAGACGCTCACTCTGATGGTTGGATGAGAGAACGTCGGGCGTCAATCGGGTCTCAACCCCATTTGCATTTTCGTGATTTTCAAGAGATTGATCAGAGCCTTCGAGAGAAGTTATCCACTGCGCTGAGTAACATGTTTTTGGAACAGCCTTTCCTTCCTCTGGCCTATCGGACAACTCATGGACAGGTCGCATGGAACATTGATGGAGGCGGTGTCAGCATGAATAGAGAGACAGATCAGTCTGGGAATTCTGTGTTTGTGGTGAAGTGTTGGCTTGCGAATGGGAGGGACAATCCTGGTAGGACTCACCTAGTTTATCATGAAATTATCCCTGATGGTCCTCTGTATGGTGGTTGACCACAGTATGTACTGTACAAGGAAGTTTTCTTATATAGATACTTGCTGTATGCAGGCACCATTCTTCAGACAGTGTGATCACTTGAAGCTGACATGAAGACCAGATTGGCAAGGGATCACTCTGACTGAGAAATCGTTCCACTTTTAGGTACACACAGGATAAAAATATGCCCATGCCAGTTAGAAGGGAGCAGAGTTTCAGAGACACAAGGTAGCCAGGGGAAGGTAGGGCCACCGCATCTTACTGCAAAGATGACTCAGAGTTGTTGGAAGACGATACTGACTAGGGCTCGGACATTCTTTGTACTTCAGACAGAGGTGGAATAAAGAACTGACAGCTCTAAAGTATTTATTGGTTTTACAATCAGGGTTGGTGCATGTCATCACTCCCAGCTCCACAGGTCTCACACCATACTGTGCGTGACAGTTGCAGATATCCGTGACAGTTCCCTTGTTAGCCAGAAAGTAATGAAGTGGAAGGATGCATGACAAACAGAGCAAAAACAAAAAGAGACACACACTGTACAAAACCCTCTCTCAACACTAATCCTCCCTCCTCACATGTCTCTCCTTTTCCCTTTCCCTATCACCCGCCGCTTTCCTATCCTCTTCCATCTCCTTCAACTCTTCTTCCAAACCCATCTCCTCTCCTGGATCTTCAAACGTATCATTCTTCCTCTCCAACAACGGTCTGATGAGTCTTTCAAAGTAAGGATGTTCTTTAGGTAACGGATTGGACGATTGGACTTGAGCGAAATACGATTCGTACACTGATCCATCCCATTTACCCAGGGGGGAATTGATGATGTGGTCTGAAAGGGCGAAAGCGTCGACGAGAGGGATGGCGAACGATCGGACTTGAAGGCAGAGTTCGTCCACGGCGGAGGTGAGGGCGTCGACTTGGTTGGGAGTAAAGTATCCGTCTGATATGAGCAAGAGCGAATAACAGGGGGCAGTTTATTCTCTGAGATAGTCCATCGCGATGACTATTGTATGTCACAAGGACAGCTGACGTGCATTATTGAAGAGAGAGAGAACAGCAAGGTGAAGAGAAAACTAGGAGGAAGGATAGTGAAGATCGTGCGGGATTGCCAGAGAAGAGCTCTGACTTAGATGGGGCATCAGGAAAGTGGAGACAGGGAGCAGGACCGGGACGACAATGACTTCAACTAAACTCACACTTCAAGAAATACCCCTGCTGCTCTTCCGTGATCCACAGTCCATACAACCTGCAAACCGTCCTCAAAGCTTCCGCCTCGGGTCCCGATTCCATCTCCTCCACGGCCTCACGGAACATACTATAAATGTACCCATAAGTATGTATCTTGGCAGCGATGAACCTACTCTGAGAACAACGCTCCATCGCTTCGTCTTTTGTTTTGCCGGATTTGAGATGAGATACATATTCCTCTGCTGCCTTTTTGACAACGTTGGCGGCGACGCATGACCAGCCGCGTTGTAGATCAGAGAGAGAGAGGGAGGAGTCGGATTTCAAGCTGAGGACGTTTGGCGTGGAAAGATAGGCGACACCGGGGGCGAGACGTTTACCTTTGATGGCGCCTGGAGTGAGCACGGACCCGATAGAAGGTCTACTCATCCTGCTTGGGCAAGGCAGTATTCAGCCAGGTCACATGTGGATTGGGAGTGCGTTGATTGATTAAGCAGGGAGAACCACCATCGACAAAGGCCGTTCATCCACAGCTCATCTAATCAAGATGGAAATGTGATGGGGAGAAGGGGTACGAAAAGATACGACAGGATACGACGGGATACGACGGGATACGACGAGATACGACGAGATACGACGAGATACGACCAAGTACGACCAAGTACGACCAAGTACGACCAAGTACGACCAAGTACGACCAAGTACGACCAAGTACGACCAAGTACGACCAAGTACGACCAAGTACGACGAGATACGACGGGATACGACGAGACACGACGAGATGCGACCAAGTACGACGGGATACGACCAAGTACGACGAGATACAACGAAGTACGACAGGATACGACGAGATATGACGGGATACGACGAGATACGACGAGATACGACGAGATACGACGAGATACGACGAGACACGACGGGATACGACGGGATACGACGAGAAAAGGCAAATTTCGCACTCACCACCCCAAGCACCAACAAGTGAACGTCCAGCTTGTAAACTCAAAATTGTGTTATCTCCCTCCCATGTGCTCGACGTCAGCTCGCCAGAATCCAGCATGTCTCGGAAGCTTACCACTGTACCGTCAGCTTTTACTCAGACATCGTAATTGTGTATCTGGAGCTCTCATACGGAGTGGAGGTCTGGAAGTGGAACGAGCAGGAAGCAACTTTCCTCAGGTTGCAGGTGGGTGGGGAATGAAGAGGACGATGATAAATGACCGTCGAGACGCCTGCCATGAAAGCAAGAGAGAAGGAAAGTCAGAAGTACGAAAGAGCAGGGAGAAGATATGGAGAAGGGGTAGGTAGTAGAAAGAGTAGAGATAAGGAGGGGTAGCGGGAAGGACAAGAATAAACAAGGGGAAGGGCGGAGATTTGAAAAGATGAACCCACTTGGACAGCAAAATCCGCATACATCAGTGGAAAGTTAGAGTACGAAGAGTACCCATGTCCACCACAAGACTGTCTGCTCTTGTCAATCGTGTCAAGACATGCCCATGTGCAGAACGCCCGAGAGTCAGCTTCAGACGCAGTCACGACGATTCAACTGACCTTGAGACCGGCCGAAGTAGCGTGAGTTTCCTTGAGCTTGTCCAAGATGTCCGTCAAATTGGGCTGTTGTCAGTACGATATTGACTCGTCTTGCTTGACTCACATCAGATGGGTCCATCGTGTCTAACGCGATTGTCATGTCCTATCGCGTCAGGACAATCGTGTCATAGTAGAATATACATACCTCGTACATCTTTTGTAGCTTGAGAGCAGTAAAGCCTATGGCAATGGCTTGAGCGACCAACGGCTGCGCATGAGTTCACCGACATGAGCTTGGGACACGACTCACCATCAAGCGACGTTGGTGAATGGGATAATCGAGAATCTGAGTCTCGAGCTGCAGTTGGTCAACTGATATCCCTTTCCCTACCTGAAACGTAGCTTACCTCGCTTTTACCCGTCTTGAACTGTCTTCTGACTGCGGCGTATCTCACAGCGACTGTTAGTGCCTATAGATCAGTGGATGTCAGCTGGATTGGAGAGGAAACCTACCTTTTTCGCAGAGTTACTAGAATCCGCCACCATCGAGGTTCTTCCCCCGAGCAGCGCGCCGTAGGTGAGTTGCGCGAGAGGCTGAGTGTCAGTTGAGCATCGGAGTCATGACACGACTCGCCGGTTCCGTCACAACACCCTCTCTTGAGACCTGGGTATGCTTCATGAGCATGTGAGCACGGGGAACCCGAACATATGTAAACTGAGGGTAAGCTACTGTATACCCAGATGAGCTTACTTGTATGTAACCATTGTCAATACCGTCACGACCCATTTTCTTCCCAATGTCTCCTATCGTGACTCCGGGCATGAGGGTGAATGTCCTGTGAGTCAGTTGATGCCGTCCTGCCTGATCGAGTCTCTATATTCTAACAGAGTTCAGAGAACGGACCAATCGTTTTCCGGAGTATCTCTCGATTACTCTCTCGGAATGTCTCTCAATGGCTTCCGACTCGGTAGGACATGGAGGGATATCAAGAGCGGGTGACATGCGATCGTGTGACCAAATCTGCGACTCACTTCTGATCTCTCAACTGAGTGACAAACGTCTTCACCCCATGCTTCTTCCCATCAATAATCATCTGAGCGAATACAGCTGCGTGCGTGGCAGTACTGGCGGCTCCTCCGATCCACCACTTGGTAGCGCCCAGATGTGGTGTATGTATGACAAACTCGTCCGTGGTGTGATCAAATGTGGCCGTGGTTTCCAGACCGGCAACATTGGACCCGTGGGCAAGTTCGGTCATGGCAAAGCATCCTATGACGCCGTTGAGACCGAGGACACCGCGATCGATCCAGTAGCCTAGAGGTGAGTATAGTCATTCATGTGGTCGACGCTGACTGTCGGGCGGAAAGACCACTTCCAGCGGGATTAGGGCTGCCATCGGGTATCTCTGGACATACAGCAATAAACCCGAGAGTAATGGGTTGGGAAGTGAGACCAAGAGGGGAGGAAAATGATATTTCACATACTCAGCTGATTTGGAGTAGCTCCACTACGCAAAGCACCCAAGAACAGGCCATAACTGACTCCGAACCTGGTCCAAAAGGATGGATCGGCAATACCAATCAGCTGCAAGGTCAGCTTGTCGTTACTAAGCTTAGCTGTGCACCCACCTGCATTCGTAGGCTGAATGTTTCGAGTGATTCCGTGGTGACAAAGTAGACCATGGATGCGAACTGCCAGTGAGCGACGTATAGGACATCGGTTTTGACAAACCTTTTCCATGGTCCGTTCACGTAGTTCATCTTTTGATAAATCGTGAATGTCACTGAGTTTGAATGCTGGATGTCGAGCGAACTGAGATTAGCGCAGTGTTTCGGCCGACCAAAATCGAGACCTCCACCGTAGAGATGGAGCTTGGGGTGACAAGACAGACATTATGCCAACGTTGTGTGACTCATTCGCTCGATGCCTGACTGATGTAGAAACAAGCCGACCGGATCACCGATAGCAAGCGACAAAAGACTCATGAGCTGCAAAGGCGCGGACGACGTATGGGACGAGTTGATACAGAACGAAAGAGATGAGCAGCTTATGAAGACAGAGAGAAAGATAAGGTTGGAGAACCCACCTCGGCCATAAACTTTTCTTTCAACACCAAAGCTTTTTCCGAACCATGCATGAGTACGCTCAACTTGCGAACGTTAAAAGGTGGATGGGCACGTTCCTAAAGATCAACTTTATACCAAACTCATAGCAATATAGCTTGAAGAAACGTTGTGTGCTTCAGTCTTCGGATCCTCGAGGCGATCGATTCGAGACACGAGTGTTCCAGCTATGATAGTTTGAGAGAATCGCCCGAATGGAAAAGACAGTATCTCGGGAGATCGATCCGTCCCATGTGTGGTTGAGCATGGTAGTTGAAGTGAACCAACTGAGTGGGTGAAGTGGTAGTTGGTATTTCCAGCAATCGATATTCCTAGAGCTCTAAAGTCTTGAGGATATTGACTATGCGTCTGAACGACTCAATTAGAGAAGAGATAAGAGGTCGAGAGAGAAGTTTGAAAGAAGAATAGATGAAGAAAAGAGAGAAAGAGGTTGGAGAATGTGAAAGAGGGAAGAAAGATTGACGAACCATAGTCAAAGTCTCAACCTGTTCGTCAGTCCTCAATCCATTTCCTTTCCCACCCGACTCATCATACAAATCTCCAAGTGGAATTTACGATGATGAGTACATCTCCTCCATCGGTGTGAGGATGGAAGGGAGAAGATCGGAGTGATATCTCTTTACGCTGATCATGAAACGTCCGACGACACAAATGGTGAGAAGAATACCACAGAATACCAAATTCAAGGTATACAAGAGACCACAATAAACACCAAGAGAAGCCTCGAGTATGTAGATACTGTGAGGCAAGTGGTAGATCTATTGGAGGAAATTGGGAAGAGAAGAGAAGAGAGAACAAAGTGTTGGAAGAGGAAGAGAAGGTAGGACATACGGTAGTAGGTTTCGGTCTAGGGAAAGCCATCTTTACTGAAGGTGTGTGATGTATAGCTCTATGTAATCTAAGATATACTACACTAGCTCTACTGTGTACAGGGTATGTGATATGTGTGAGATCTACTTATAGGTAGAAAGATGTAAAGTGTAAAGTAGAAAGTAGAAAGAAAGAAAGAAAGAAAGAGACAGTAAGATCGGGGGGAGAATCGAGAAAATCCCGGTAAAAGTTGATAACCGGTCTCACCCAACAACGCACCATCCACAATCTTCATCCACTACGAGTAGAGTACCATACTAGTATCAATCACCTGGGGGGTGTGCTCTGGTAGCTGGTAGCTGGTACAAATGGTCACCTTGTGAGGGAGAGCCAGGGAGATAAAGTGGAAGATAAATAGATGAACACGGATGAAGAAACAGAAAGTAAATAGAAAGAGATAACATGCATCCTATCACCCCTTCAAAACTAACTCATCACACTCCCATCCGACCCATCCCCTTCCTCCTCTTTCCCATATCTCAAAGGAGAAGATCCTAAAGATTTCCTACCACCTTGTACATCTTCCAAACCTTTCCTTCTAACCCTCCTACCTAGTGGAGAAACATCTTCTTCTGCGGGTCTTTTCCTACCTCTTGGTGAACCTGATAAAGCCGCTACTAGAGATAACGTTTCTTCATCTTGTCCATTACGTATCCTCGTTTCTTCATCCATCTCCCCATCTCCTCCCTTCTCTTCTCCTACCGACTTTTTAGATGATCCATTGAGAGTATTATTGATCGAACCAGATTCACCCTCTTTACTTCTTTTTGACCGTTCATCGATTGATATTGACCCTTCAACCGTTTGACCGGATGTGGAATTACTTTCTTGAGTTATTAAACCACCAAAGGATGAATCTCCCCCATTCCCCATACCTATACCCAGCGGCAAAGAAGTAGAAGAAGAAGAAACAACTCCCAAACCCAAAGTCATCGGCATGGAAGAAGAAACAACTCCCAAACCCAAAGTCATCGGCATGGAAGAAGAACCACCTCCCAAACCCAAAGTCATCGCCATCGAAGAACCACCACCAACACCCGGACCAACCCTAGTGACCAAAAAAGGATGATATTTCAATTTCTCAAATTTCAACCTAACATAACCTCTCTGATCATGTTTCTTCAAAACCGCATCAACGTATCCTTCATCCCAAGTGATTTTATATCTTCCAGAAAGTGGTAAAACGGGTTTATCGTTCTGTTCGTTATTGGAAACTTTACGACGTGAGAGATTAGGTCTGTTACGTCCTTTTGGTCTGGGTCGATTACGTGAACGAGAGTTTGAATTGTGATTCGAGTCGAAGTGAGATATAGGGGTAGGTGGAGGTATGGAGATCATTGATTCTGATTGAAGAATTGAATAAATATCTTCTAATGTCATACTTGTTGCTGAAGATATTTCTATTCGAGTCAGCAATAGTGAAAAAAAATAAAAACGACCCCAAAGAAAGAAAGGAAAACAAAAAGGGTATCTCAAGGTGATGGTTGAGAATCCTCACTAACCTTCCATTGTGACATTATCCTTTTCAGAAACATTACTCAAATATTCAAATACTTTCAATGTCCAATAACGTTGATAAGCTACTTGACCTAATCCACTTAAAGGTTTTTCAGGTGATCCCACACGTCCTTCTTTCTTTGATAATAGATAACCTTGGGGTTAGTGACGTTTTCTTCTACACGAACTAGAATGCGTTTTCAGGCGATAGATATGTCGGGTCGACTACTCGATAAAATGTCACCGGTTCTCTCAACCGAGATCTCAACCGACCGAGAGGAAAAGAGGTGACTACCTCTGTGATCTATCGATTTCCCACGGATAACCAAAATTTCATCTCGGTGATATACTGCCAGAAGAAGAAGTATAAAAGCAATACAACATGTTCAGTCGATGAAAGACGAAGAAGTTAAAACTGATATATCATGTAGGACAGTTAGAATGGAGTAGAATAGCACAGAATAGAAGAGAAGAGAAGAGAAGAGAAGAGAAGAGAAGAGAAGAGAAGAGAAAAAACCCGATAAACTCACTAAAATCAATCAACATCTGTCCCCAACCTTTCCTCTGTCTAACAGGTAAAGTCATTATACAACTAACGTTATTCTCCAAACTTCTCTTTTCTTTACTGAAATAACCTAAAAACCTAGCTCCGATTTCATCGACTTCAGTAGCTACGTAGAATAAAAAAGGTTCAACGTCGTAATATAAAGTTTTATGATCTAAAAACATTTTCGCCAATAGACATAAGTTTTGACAATAGATTTTGTTTTTTCTACCGTCTACTTCGAAGATTGATAAATTACCATCTCGATAGATTTCGTCTCCTGGTGGGTGACGGGTTTTGCATTTCATCTGTTGTGTTAGTTTCATCTATCCATTTCAAAATCTGAGGGAGGTTGATCTATCCATTTCGAAATTTGAGGAAGCTTGATCCATCCATTTCAAAATCCGAGGAATGTAATCAGAGTTACACGAGTGAAGGTGGGGATGGGGATGGGGATGGGGATGGGGATGAAGGGGGGATGAGGATCAAGCGGAGAAGGGAAGGCATGGGTGGGGTGACGAAATGAACAAAGTCATCCCGATGGAGAGCTACTTGGGGTGGAGACGGAGTGGGGAAGGATAAGCAAACTATCAAACAGAGGGTGTGTTTGTAGGAGTGAGGGGTAAGGTGCGGTTAAATATCTGGACGATTGAGATCATATACTAGTAGAGACAAATTCGGATGTTTGAAGTGAACAGTGTAGGAAGAAAAAAAAAAGCTCAACCAACCTTATGACGCCCCGCAACAAAACCACTCTTCATATACCTCAGACAAAATTCACATAACCATAATCTTCCCTCTGGAGAATTCTGATATTCTTCAGGATAAGGAGCAGAATACCAAGTATCAATATCGAATTCTCCAAATCTAATCTTTTTGATTTTATGTGAACTAGTATTGCTCATTGGTAATCTAGGTGTAGATACTCCATCTTCATCATCTTCCATTCTGGTTTTAGGATGATTCGTCAAAAGATGATTTCTTAATGATCTTGAATTGATAGGTGCCGGTGAACTTTCTATGGATGTTGAACGATTATGTGTGATGTTAGGAAGATGAAGTGGTGAATTGTTAGAATGAGGATGAGATGGTGAATGTGAGGGATTGATACCGAGTTTTAATTCTGCTAATTTCAATGTTTTATCGAAATCTTCTTTATCTTTTAAAAGTATTGAAGTGTTCGTTTGATCAGCTTCTTCTCCAGTGATAACACCACCATATGGAATTTCTTCTTCACTTTCAATCTCTACGGTCACACCTCGTTTTTCGTTTGAACCAGGAGCAGAAGAAGCAAAATGTTGATCCTGTCTTGATCTTCGATCTCGATTTCTAGGGACGGTGAATTTGACGAATAAAGAAGGTCCTTCTTCTTCTGATGAATCTGTATCGATTTTGGCTTTTCCTTTACGATTCCGATTACGAGTTTGTGTTTGCGATTGAGATTGGGACTGGGATTGGGATTGAGATCGAGGATGAGATCTTGATTGAGGCTGTGAATGAGATCTGGAATTAGAATGAGATTGTGATGGTGGACGAGATTGTGATTGTTTTGTACGATGTCGAGATGAAGCATTATATGAGGGTTCATCAATAATTTCTCCTTCTCCGTCAGAAGCGATTTGAGGGTCATATCTTGCACGACGAGGGGTAGGAGTTTCGATTGGAGGAGGATGAAGTTTGCCTTTTCCTTTGTGGCCATGTTGTTTTGAGGATTGTGAAGTGGAAGGTGGGATTGAAGTAGATGGTTCTGGCGAAGGGGAAGAACGACATGGATCGCAATACCATCGACCTGAGGTTAGTTCAAGAACATCGGTGTCTCATTGGCTCTACGAGTTATGACAGTAGTTGGCGTCGAATCACAGTCGCGATGCACCTTGTAGACGATTGAAATAGTGTGATGTTCAAGGTGGAGCTCGCATGTCACTCAGGTGTGACAAGAGGGTGACGAACGAAGTGGAACGACGTGGAGTAAGGAGGTAAGATAGACCTGGCCAGTGGAGAAGTATCATTGCTTACCTTCCGGTGGATTTGGGAATGGTCTGGTGCATCAGCCGTGGTACACAAGAAGGCTGGTCTTGTTGGGGAAGCTTCTCCCCAGAGAGGAGATGAGACAGATGAGGCAAAGACGAGACAGGGAGAAGGATGCGGATGGGGGGGAAAGTTGCAGAGAGGGAAGAAGATATATAGAGGGAAGAAGACGCAGGAGGAAGATTGACCCGAGAAGAGTGGATGAAGCTCACGGATCAAGACAGTAACAATGATAACCTTTATCACAACCATCACAGAAAAGTAATTTTCCCTGTTTTTCATCAGCCCTAACTCTCGTCCACTCGTACACTCGTCTTTGTCAACCCCCCCTACCGTACAATAACCTCTGAATCATATCGCTTCTCACCCCGAAAGGTGTAAACGTCAAACTCACCTCATCACCCTTCTCCTGACAAACCTCACAAGGTTTACAATCCACACAACACCAATCATATTGAAAAACTTTCTTCAATATCCTAGGTCTTTTCATCTTTAAACATTTCGTATGACCTGATCTTCCACATCGAAAACAAGATAATAACCTTCCTCTAGTTTTTGAGAATTCTGTAGTTTGAAAAGTTTCACAAAAAGAACACCAAGGTTCTGCTGGTACTTTTTTCAATTTCCCTTTACCCTCTAACGTTTTACCTTTTCCTTTTCCTTTCCCTTGTAACGTGGAAGATCCATTCATCTCCATTTTAGTTTTAGCTCGTATAGTATTTGATCGTTTTATAGGTGTTTGTTCATCATCGTATATCTCTCCATATTCTATTTCACCGGTGGAACTGTAAGTTTGATCTCTGGAAAGTCTTGAAGGGACATTTTTATGAGAGATTGGTGTGTTGGAAGATTTAGCTCTGGAGGAAGGGGGGCGTCTCCCTTGAGAAACGTTAGAAGGTGTGGGGGAACCGTTAGATGTCAAAGATGATATGAGTGAAGCTTGAGGTGGTGGTACAAGTGTAGATTTATGACCGTTCTGATTATCAGTGTTCGAATCAATGATGACAAGAGTCAACGTTAAGAGGGACAAAAGTGAGAGGATGGAAGTTTGAGGATGAACTGACAGTGAGAGCTTCAACATATAAACCATCATCCACTTCTCCTTCAGCATCCTCGTCTTCTTCCCAATCTACATCCTGGTCCTCCTGATTGTCCATGGCGAGAAGAGCGGGGTCGATAGGTATTTCCTCCGTACACGGTAGCAGGTTGGCTGATGGATTCTCGGACTTGGCTCATTCGTTCGTGATGACTCGTTCGTGTCGTT